TTCAAGATGTATTTTTGCATTGGGGAGATGTTAATTACATGTAACAGGTTATATATAATTAACATCTCCCCAACGCAGAAATACATCTTGAAGAGGGTTAAGGTTAAAATATTTCTGTTTGAATTTGGTTAGTTTGGCATCCTATTGACAAGGGATGTTACGAGGGGGAAACGTGAAAAGGTCTTTTAAAGACCTGCAATTGAAAAGGGGCTCAGGAAACTTTTGAATTCATTTTGTGAGGTTGGCTTACTTTTTTTTCTGATTGCTTGCATGCTTGAAGCATTCAACGGTTGTGTACAAGAAATATTTATGTGCTATAAACTCAAAGATTTAAAAAACACGATATCCCTGTAACCCAGTTTTACAACTCAAAAAACAAAATCTGTACTAAAAACTTTCAAATCCGGGTGAAGGATCCGTGTTTCCTTGTAACACAAATCGCATCGCATCAGTGTTCCTGTTACCTGAAGAAAAATGTTGCACTCTCATATTTCGACAGAAACTGTTGCGTCGTTTATTTACTATAGCATGCCTGTGTTTCCTTTTGCTCTGATCATGCCGTCCTCTTGTCCTGTTTGCCTATTGTCTGAACAGGAAGCTTGGCCGAAATCAGGAAGCTGAGGGAGTTCCTATGACCGATAAAGCCACAGGTAACCGACCGGACTTGCTGTCTTCCCGTTGGGCCCCTGGGGTCTAATTACCGCACGTAATGCACCGAATGTCTGGGTTGCTATACCATCTGCATTGAGTGATGAGACACAGTATGGCACCAGAGTTCTGCAACCGTTGACCTCAGTGCCCAGCTGACCCCAAAAGGGCAGACCCGGATGCTGATTAGAATTTGTTTATGAATGCACAATGCAAAGGGTCTAGTAAAATCTGTTTGTGAAAAAAAATCTTCAAGAAAAGTGAAGTGTTTCTTCTTCATGTGGTGACGAGAAGTTGCTTTGGACTTGAAAGAGATTGTTTCAAATTTTTTTTGAGCAAATCAACTTTTTTTATTAACTCGCAGCTTAACATTTTTCCCCAAATCTTTAATTTGTAGGTAACACCTATGATGATGCGAGCAGTATGCCGATGCTTTCAGCTCAACAGTCGGCCACATCTTACAGACCTACAAGTGGTTATGAAGATGTGAGCGAACTTCACAAAGACATGCCAAACTTGCCCCGAGAGCATGTGGAGCCAAGTGACATCTCGCCCTATGCTGCCACCGGTAACGTCACTGTCCATGCTGAAAACGTACCCTCTGAATATTCATATGTCACCGTCAACGAATTAAATGTGTTGAAAGAGAAAGGGACGGGTAAGGGTGAGGAATCCTATGACAGGCTTGATTTTTTGCCCCGTGAGAGGTCTGTCCGTCGGCCAGTTGTCACTGATGGTATGTACGGCTCTCTTCAGGATGATGGCAGCTATGAAGATGCAAGCAGCTGTTCGTTCATGGGCCCTCCAGTCGGAAACCACCAAGATGCAATCAGCACGTCTTCCGGCTACGCAAAGATGAGCCCGTTACTCAACAACCGCAAGGCCTCCTCCCTGAAAAGCCCACGAAGGGAACTCCTCTCTGAAGTCCAGCGTAAAAGTTCTTCCTTGAAACTCCCAAGCACGGACGTGCAGCCCTCTAACCAGCCATACGAAAATGCATATGTGGGCTTCGACCCGAAGCGGTCGTCGCAAGACTGTAGCGAGTATCCGGGGATGCCAGTTCCACCTCCGCCCGAGTCAGTTTCCAATCAGCCGAAGTCCAAGAGAGATAAGCTCTCTGGCAAGAATCCTAAGGGGGAGATCCCTCAATACGCCAAGCCCATGAAGCGAAAGAGCCAACAGGCAGACCAGCAGGAGGTCCCACACTATGCCAAACCCAACAAGCAGAAGAGCCAGGTCCCCCAATACGCCAAACCGAATAAGCCCACTTCCTCCAAAGGCTATCAGAACGGCAGCCCTGCCCAACCCAACATCCAGTTGGAACGCCCTCCCGAGGGAAGCCTAGGAAAGCCCTCCCCCGGGAGCAAGGTGGCAGCGGGCTACGCCCATTTGATGCATGCAGAAAGCCCCTCCCTAAATAACAGTAAATAGGACTACCTTCCAAAATCTCGGGAATGGCAGCGTGATTTTGGACTGTGGCCAAGTCTAATAATTCTGATCAAGCTGGAAGTTGAGAACACCATACTTCTCAATCACTTTACAAGTTGTGAGCAACTTAGGATTTCAGACTGATCTGTGTCTTTAAGTTATGCGCAGGAATTGTGTCCTTGTACTAAGTAGGGACTCCGGTCACTTCAACACGGGAGAAAAATTGATAGGGAAAAATATTGACCAGGAAATACCAGGACGTTCAGGTTCATATACATTTGTGTGTGCTCGCCCATCCATCACCATCCAAGAATAATGCAAAAACTCTCCCACAAAGCTGACTAGCTCAAAAACAAAATTCCTTTCACAAAAAAATGCAGCAAAATGAAATTTGGGGTACAGGAAACGAGCATTTTCAACCCAACACCGCTAACAGCAGGTAAATTTGATAAACCAGCTCTTAACTCCAGTGCTGAATTTGTACAAACTTGATTAAACCCCCATCTATTCTGCCAAAGTTAGGAAACGCGAAGTCTTTCAGAGTAAAACCGTTGCACATTCTGCATGAAATGGCCGGCCATTTTTAAAAAAATACTTTTGTAACGTCGAAAGTTTTAATCCTTTGAGGATTTTGTTAGGCAGTCACTGTGTATATGTTATACTGCTTTCTTTCATGCAACGCCTATACAGGATGTTGGCTTGAACTGTAGTCGGACCAACTACTTTTGAACGGTGCTTATTTAAAAATACTAAACGCCTTTCTCTCTCTTGCCAACATTATTTTAAGCATATATTTTTTGTTAATCTAGCACGTGCACTTTTTTGCCGCCAAACCATTTTAAGATCATGGTGCTTTCAGTATTGTAACAGTACATATTCAAGCAACACTTTCGTCTGTGTTTAGTAGATCAATTTCAGAGGTACTTTATTGAAAAAAGTGAGTGAAATATTTAAATTGAAAGCAATAATGTCATATCAGTAATAGAATAGCTTAGATTTCAAAACAGTGTGCTACTCATGTTTCTGTGGTATGTTCAGAGACCGAGTATTTTGCTGAGGCATTTTCAAATTTGTGCAAGTTAAACCTAATTTTCCAATGAATTCCGACGATCAATTTCCACAGGGATGCCAGACGCCAAGGTGTTATTTTTAAATTTTCAGAAAACCAGGTTACCAACTATCATATGCTTAGCATGTTGATTTCAACTGGTTCTCAGAACTCCTTCACTCAGCAGAATAGGATAAGAGGCTTTCTGTTCAAGCCCCTCTGCGGAATTAGGTTAGATCTAAGTTTAACCATCCCTCCGTCGAATTTGTTCCCGCGCATGTTATGTAAAGCACTTGCTGCCTGTTTGGCAAGGTTAGTAAAGTTCATGAAACTTGTCAGCACCGAATCAACCTCTGGAGATTTTGCTGGCAGAAAGGTCGAGTCGAGACCCCGGCAGTCCATCTCACTGCCATGCAACTCACCAGGGATACATCATGTTGTGATCAGTTTGCCCCTATCGTGGTTCCGGTATCTTCAACCAGAGCTGAAGTCAAGAGCGTCATAAGACAAGCCACAAGGAAACAGTGACAAAGGAATTCTTTCATTGAGATTCACTGGAGCAGCTTGTGGCTTGAATTCAGACTGGAGGTCTCGTGATTCTCTTGTGGGGTCTTAAGATGGTATTACTGTTCCAGTTTTGAATTAAGAGGTAATTTGTTCTATACAATTTTACGTAAAATAAATATCTTCCTGAAGTTAAAGAGACCAAAATTTTATTAATTTGCTATAACCAAGATTGTAGCAGTCCTTTATAGCAAGAGTTGCGTGAATACTGAAAAAAGGAAGAATTTATTGCAACACTTCATTTCAAACTTAACCAAATTGTAGTTTTTAAATTTATACATATTTTGACCAAATAAGGCAGCTTCCAAATATAACTTAGTGTTATTTACTTGTTTATACACATTTATGCATATAATTGTACATTTCTTAAAACTATTTATACTGTCTTCACAGTAATTGCAATTTAGTTTAAATAAATTTTTTTTTAAATGTTCTCTAAGACAAATTCATGTTGGTAATTAACATTTGTACATGTATTTTGAGTGCATAAGTTTGAGCCCATTCCAATTAGAAAGAGACAATTGGATAAAACGTTATCTTAGAAGCAAGTGCAACTGTACATCATTGTTAGACTAGAAACTGTGAAAACATCATTATAGATAATGCATGGAAATAGTGCTTTGAAGATGGACAGTGCCATTGTAAACCGCAGTTTGCAAGGAATGCTTGATGTTGTATGTGTGGTTTTGTGTCATGTTAAAACAATATGCATTGTGAAACAAATACAAAAGACTACAGCAAAACAAGTTACAAATTAAATTGGTTTTTCGAGGTGGTTGGATTTCAAAGCATTGCATAGTTTTGTGTCTCTGTTTTCTTTTAATTTGCTAAACATGTTTGATTTGTTCAACGAGCAAATGCCAATTTTGGGTTGTATCAGAACTCAGCAGTGCATATTCACCTCAACTATTGCATAGTAAATACAATGTCATTACATGTACAAGCTACAAGCAAATGGTAATGGTATTCATCTCAATCAAGTTCGGCAAAGTTCTTGCAGATTATTTCAGCTGTAGATGGCAAACGTCCGCGGCAAAGATCCATTATAACTGCACGGCAGGCTCTGTGGTAAGTTAACATGCGTGTCGCCTTACCATTAGACCCAACTGCAGGTTCCCCACAGTGCTGAAGTTCAGCTGAACAGGGCGGAAGCATCATATCCCATGACTCAATTTTTGCGATGTAAAAATTGCCCTGTGACGTCAAGTAGAAACGTCAATTTTTGCGATGTAAAAATTGCCCTGTGACGTCAAGTAGAAATGTCAATTTTTGCGATGTAAAAATTGCCCTGTGACTGCAAGTTGAAACGTCAATTTTTGCGATGTAAAAATTGCCCTGTGACTGCAAGTAGAAACGTCAATTTTTGCAATGGCAGTCTTGCATAGGATTGAACACCTCTCGCACTCTTCCTTGCAGGGGTCATAAAAAGTACTGGGAGATGATTTTCGGGAGCGTTGAGAAGACTCGGAAGACGCTCTGGCCGCTCTGTGGTGAACCACAAGTGACAACTAATCATTTGTCTGACGAAATGTGGTGTGTAGAATCCGAAATGGGGAGTTAACACCTTTTCAGGTAGGCTTCTGTTTAGAACTACTTGTCTTCGGCTCAATAGCGGGACCGGAGTGAAATTTCTGAGAAGGAGCCCGGGGGCATACGTTATTTTTCACAGGGGTATCGAAAGCAAATACAGAAGGGGCTCTGAATTAACAAGGCAGTGCTTGGAAAGTAACGGCTGTGGCTGCAGATAAAATGTATGTCTATGAAGGCCACCGGCTGGCTTTGGGAGCCGCTGTCGGTAGATATGCATGCTCCTAGTGTTGTAGTTGAGTCAATCGCAAGTCCTTTCACACGTCTCTTCGCAAGTTTGTCCGCAAGACCAGATATAAGTAACGGATAAGAGAGGGACGTTTACACATTTAAACCTTTAAACAGTGTGGGAAGGTTTTCCAAATATTTCAAATTAAGCGTAAATTTCCATCCTTAGTAATGAGGTGAACAACAACAAAAGAACGCTTTTGCCACGGCTCATCTGTATCGCTGGTGAGTTGGCTTACGTCTGGGTGACTTGTGATGGACTCCGCTACAGCATTGCACGTTACTCCTGGGCAGAGCCTGTTGATTCACACACAGCTGTGAACACGCTGTATCCACGAATCACCTCCCAGCAGGTGTACGCTTGCCACGTCAAGCCTCGCATCGCACTCACTGCGCGGCGAGCCTGGCTTGAGTCTGCCGCACCACGGCTTGCAGGTAGAGGACGGAGGAGATGGTGCCCAGGAAGCCCACGGTGGCGTCGGACAGCTTGCCTCCCCAGAGGAAACCCACCGGCATCCAGTGGATGGCATTGCAGAGGTCCGTGGCATACTTCAGCACCTCCAGGAGGTGGGCACGCTCCGCCTCCTTGAGACGGGAAATCTGCTGTCCCTCCACGACCGACGACTCTTGCCTGGGTATTTGTAAGACACAGAAATTTAGTATTTTAAAGCAATGCAAGGTCAAAGGAAGTACACCAATACGTAACAAACATAAGCTGAAGTACAAAGGGCAATCTAGCATTACCTCTCTCTAATGTGCACTTGCAGACTTGCGCAAGCTTTGGCAGGTCTTTGTCTAAGGATAGTGTTTTGTTAAAGTGTGGCCACTCGCAAGCCAGTATCTTCACAAATGCAGGACGACGGATGGCAAAGCAATTCGGGAGGAGCAAATGAAGACAATACAATGCCATCTCACCTGCCGGAGCTACAACAGGGGTCTTCCATTTGGATCTCCTGCTCCAGTTTCTTCCGTGATCTCCTCAAGCTCACGAGTGTCATTAAACTCCTGGGAAATTAAAAAAATGTCATTTGAATACCAAGAACCAAGCTCCAGAGACACATGTGCTGAACTGTACGAGCGTTCTGGTCCTTTTCAAAACGTATTCCCACCACAGTCACCCCTGGTCCCTTCTTCTCTGATGTGAGCAAGTCCGTTTGTTTCTTTGTACAACCACTTTTTTGGATGTGTGGGATTTGCACTGTCTCTTGCACTTAGTTCCTCCGCTTGGCCATTCCACAAACTTAACCCCCCCTTGAGGTTAAGACCAAAATCAACGGCTGAACACCAACAGGCCTGTGATTGGCTACTTCTTACCTAAGTATGCTAATGCTCAGGGACAACCCCCAGGCCACTATGCAAAGTATCCACCAAGGCGATGACGAGACATCGATGAGCTTCTTGTCGGCGGCCCAAGCTATGTGCTCCAGGGGGAAGTACAGCTGGTCAATCAGATTGTTGGCGAGGCTCAGGACACGAAGCCACAGGCTCTTCTCCTGCAAGAAAAAAAAGGAGCTGGGAGTCAACTAAAGCATGTTTTAATGCATCGAATTCAAGCAGTTGATAAAAGGCAATCGAAAAAAATTTTTTTTTTAATTTGTCTGCTTGCAATTTAAGACTGAGAACTAATCAAAAGAAAATTATTCCCCCCCCCAAAAAAATGACAGAAATGAATCTACGTGAAAGGTTCATAGCTTCCATCCCACTTAATTTGGATTTATGACAAAAAAGCTTAAAACATGAGCATTCTCGGATTCTTCAAGTCCATAAAATTCGGTCCCAGGACAGGAGGGTATAAAAAAACATGCAACAAAATTAAACACCAATCAACCATGTTCCAAATTCAATGTACATGCATGTACATACGTGAGTGTTTACCCCGGCTTGAGACGATGGTGATGACTATGCAGCTACGAGGGCCGCGCAGAGATCGAGGGACAAGCCTAGCCCGAAGTGTCCATGGTGTGTGTTTGTTAAACATTAAAATACTGTACAAGAGAGGTGTTTTTCTTAATAGTCTGGAAAATAATAACTTGAAATATCAAATATCATGAGCATCAAAGGTCCTTCCGGCCCATTAAATATATCTTTGAGTGGAATAAATTTTAATCGGCCTAAGCCTATTCATGGAGGAAGGTTCCTTCCTCCATGGCCTATTTTAGTATTTATTTGCATTTTGCACAGTCTATCCACATTTCAGGCCCACATTTTAGAGACCATATTCTGGAAGAAAATGTGCTCTCCCTCTCCCTTTCCGTAATCACTTCTCGACAGGTCAAGAACCTGAAAATGATACATTTGTGTGCTTCGTTAATTAAGTAGCATTTGGGGGCAAATTGTACCTGCGCACCCAACCCATACGATAGCGAATACCCCAACATCGGCAAATCATCGAACAGTCGTAGAATCGTTCGGCATCCACTGAGTTCCGTGAAAATTGTCAATAGTTTCTTTGACTTTGACGGTGATTTCACGAGGCCAGAAAGCAGTAGCGATCCATAAGATATGATTCTCATGACTTTGTCCCTTCCACCGTAAGTTTGGAGAAGATTTATGGCTAACTTCAAATCTTTTGAAGCCATTTTTGCCTCCAAAAAATCTACGTTGCACTTGCAGTTAGAAAACAGTAAGTTTGTGCACCAGGTTATGGCATAAAATACTCAGACTTCCCCATATAGTTTACCTGCATGGCAGGGCTACCATAAAGGAACCAGACTTAACTTTTCCCTCCTTGTAAACTTTAATGCCAATACGCAAAATTAAAGTAGTTATGCCTTCATTCCCCCCAAAATGGAGAAAAGTTTCATTCGTAGGTTATGAATAAGTATCATCTTTTATGAAGTTCTACTTGATTGTAAAACGTTACATAAAGGTAAAAACAACTGCTCTTTGACAAATCTAAAGAACAGTGACAGGCCGTCGCGGATTAATAAATTGAAAGTTATGTGTGAAGCTGTTTACCACTGCTTTACCGGTTGATTTAAATGTCTGCACCGCAGCAATAAAAATCCTCACCCAACACGGTCAACAGAACAGGTCAAATGTGGCATCGCTATTTTTCTGAGGGAGTGAGTTTAAGCAGCATTTAGTGTTTCTTATATTTATCATCCAGCCGGAGAAAAATCTGGGAAATTTAATTGCGATTATAAAAAGGGGAGCATATGCAGCGCAGTAGGCCTAACGTTATTGTAAGCTGCACGGCGATGACATTCACAGCCCGGCACCATGCATGGTGCGAGCCAGGCAGACCCTTTGTTGACAAGAATATCAAATCATGATGCATGTATGATCACCTGGTGATGTACATGTCACGCATATAATAAAGTTAGAAATCACTTTAATAATATTTTAAGCTTCTTTTCTACTACTAGGCCTAGTGCATAATCATTGTAAGTCATGTAGCCTTGGCCCTAATTGTTTAAAAATGGACATGTTATGCGCATGTTTCTCTGTTCGGTCTCCATTGAATTTAGGCCTAAAGGTTTTGTGTTGGTGCAGAATGATTGTTTTTTGGAACTTATAATTGGTCTGCCGAGATAGATTGTACTGCTTACATTGTCGTGGCTTTGTTTTCACCAGATTGAATTGAAATTTTATTTCATTTTGAATTTTAATATTTAATTTTAGGACGTTTTGCTAGTTGCTTGAATGCATTCTGCTGCATTCCTGGTGTAGATTGCAAGATATAGTTTAGTATCTTTGGCTTAGATTTTCAGTAGAATTTCAGATTTCTTTGTGGGTTAAATTTGACGTCACTGTTTTGACATTTCTGTACCCAGGTCACATTTTTCGCAAGACTGAGCTGTGATGGATAATGTACATGTTGCTATTCGAGTGCGTCCCTTAATTCAGAGGTATGTTCACTTAGAAGTGTTTTTTTAATGATTTATTAATATTACCAGTGATGGCAACATCAAATTTTCCTTTTAAAACTGAAAAGAACAGATGAAGGACCCAAGAGTAGTACCAAAGGCCCTTCGTGTAAAAATGAGCAGTTAAAAAAAGAGAACAGCTAAGTGATACATAACAGGTTTTGTGCAAGTGCTTTATGGCATTGCCTTCCAATTAGCACAACACGTTTTGTCACAATGTGCTAATCTGTTTCCCCCAGGGAGAAGCAAGTGGATGCAGTGACACACTGGAAGGCAGACACCCACACAATCACCCAGGTGGACCAGCGGGGCAAGGCCTGCAGGAAGGAATACCTGTTTGGTGAGTCAGAAAAGGCCAAGTCTTTCCATTTGTTGAAAATTGTGAGATGGAATCAGGCTAGGAAGTGGATAATCCTCCCTCGCGTAGTTCCACAGTGTCGCAACTTATGTAATGTGTTGAAGCATCTCAGGACCACCGTTTACTACCTTTATCAAGTGGGATTTCCCTACAACTCCAGGATGAACTTAACAGTGACATAACAGTACTTTCTGAGCGTCTTGATGACATGAAGTTCCCAGGTTTGATCAACTCTACACATGCTTCATGTAATCACAGAGAACTGGGCTGTTTGTAATTAATTCCATGAACAGCCGCTTTTCGAGTCAAAGCAAAGGGGAAATAATGAATAGCAGTTGAAATATCTTCTCTGAACTCATAGCAACTGTACACAGACAGCAAGGATCGCTAGGCTAGAGACAAAACGGACGACTTAAACCGAGTTTCGACTGTTTTTCCTGCATCTCTACCTGTTATAGATCGTGTGTTTGACTCCAGCGAGACAACCAATGACGTGTACGAGGAGATTGCTCAGCCTATCGTGGTGGAGGCCATGGATGGCATTAACGGTAAACAAATTAAAGTTTCTATTTCATTTTGGCATTTTTCTATTCATTAGACTGTCGAGTTCACTTGTTGCCAATCAGATCTGAAAGGTGAAATTTATATTCCGTTTTGAAAACAAGTCATGATTATGTCTATGGCACAGTGCCAGTTTGTGGAAATCAACATGAACTTGTGCAGGAATCATATGTAGAAATGAGTACACAACAAATTATGAAATTGAAGGGTTGGCTGGGAACACGTACTTTGTCGCACCGGTGACAAATCTTTTCAGTTGGTTCGTCAATGAACGAAACAGTTTGACTTAATTTATTTCCATCCATAAAGGTACAAACACCTTTACTAGCCAATTGGTTATTATACAAAAACGTTACAAAATAAAGCAAATTTTATGGTGTTAAGAAATCCTCAGCCCGGAAGGGCAAAACAGCTAAAGTGGGAAAAATCCGTCCATTTTCTTTGCAGGCACAATTTTTGCCTACGGGCAAACATCGAGTGGAAAGACTTATACCATGATGGGGGACAGTGAATCCCCTGGCATCATCCCCTGTGCGGTACAAGACATCTTTGACAGCATTCAGAATGTAAGATTTCCAACTGGAGCTCCTCACAACAGACCTTTCTGTCGCTTACAAACATAGCCTACCATTTTGCACAGGTGGCCAAAGTTGAAAGGTTTATTTCAACATTTTAAGTCATATTTGAGGACCTCAAATGATGATAAAATATTAATTTAATATAGGGAATAATGCAAGTGCCACGTTATGAGTAATCCCTATTGAATCACTTTGTAATAATACGAGTAAACAGCATGAGAAATGATTTATAACCACTGTGCACCAGTCTCCAGATAATGTGTAAATAAGCAGGAATTTCCTGTCTTGTAACAAGGAGGATGACTGTGCTCTGGAAAGTTTTTTCTGCAGTAAAGCCAGTATTAGATGTCTGTACTCATCCCAAATGGTTGAGTGATTTCCATGGAGTGTATGCACATACAGGCTCACACAGTCCAGGGAGGTTGAGCCATGTGTAAAACCCTTGAGTGGCCCTCGGCCACGGATGGGCATTGTAGCAAATATTGCTTCATGACTGTCTCGGGGTTTTTAAAACACTACGATGTGGTAAGAAATGTCTCACAAGTCTTGAACAAATGACCACCAACGGTCATCATTTGTGTTGTCCAACTTTTGTAATGGACTGTAATTTTCAGCCAATAATAAATTCCCCGCCTTGGACAAGTTTAACCCCTGCACGGCGGGATTATTTTGACCTTGACTGCTGGGCTGTGGTATGCCCTGAATGGAGGGCTTTGTCCAGCAGCAGGCCCCATTGAACCAGCAGCTGCATGGTGAATAGACTGTATGGATGGGTGGGTATGAACTAAGCCTCACACAACGGTGCGGTAGTAGCAGTCCTCCGTAGCGAAGGGGTTAAGAAAATCACAAGGGCATGATGTGTATATATAAGAGTCCAGAGATTATTTGGGTTATTTTCCCCTGCAGACACCGAACCGCGAGTTCCTCCTGCGAGTCAGCTACATGGAGCTGTATAACGAAGGGCTGTGTGACCTGCTGAGTAACGAGAAAAAGAGCCTCCAAATCAGAGAAGTTGATGTGAGTGCCGAGAATCCATCTCTCCTTCTCACTCCCTCCTCATGTACATCCCAATCTGTAGATTCTCCACCCTATGTTTTCATTTCCTTTCCTTACCCTTCATCTAACCCCCCCTCCCCGACCAGTAAAGACTGGAGTTGTGTTCATAATTTGCCGCTATCCTTTTTTGACAGCCTTGACCCTTTCTCTGAAGTGTCTACCCACTGGGCCATTTACTCTTTTTCTTAACTTTTATCTAACACTAGTGGTTAACAGACCCCCTGGCACCATCCCTTTTCATACCCTCACTGGTTACATCAATTTGTTCTATTCCCCTCAGAAGCCCCTAACTAGTTTTTTTTCTCTTCTTTGCATCGCTTCTCTGTTCATTTCCTGCTTCAACACTACCCCTGAGCTTATTTTATTCTATTATAATTTTTTTATCTTGGAAATCTTGGCATGAATAGGACACCATCACATGGCCCCATTACGCAGTTTGTTACCTCAACCTAGTTATTATTTGACGATTGATCCATTTAACCTCCAATCAAATGAGCACTCAGTTTACAGCCATTATTCTGGTTGTAGGCTAACCTAATGATTTCTTTTCCCTTTCCACTGCCCTCAGAAACGTGTCTTTGTCCACGACTTGACGGAAGAAGTTGTCACCCAGCCAGAGGATGTCCTTCAGCTGCTCAAGAAAGGAGAAGGTATAATATTTGTACTCTACAGATATTTCTTCTCCATGAGATAATCAGCCGTTTAATGTTTTTAAAAGAAATGTGAAAACCACAGTACGCTGTATAGTGCCACTATACAGGTGCCCTCAAACAGTGTCTTGTAAGAAGAACCTTTTGTATAGTGGTATCCTCAAACAGTGTCTTGTAAGAAGAACCTTTTGTATAGTGGTGCCCTCAAACAGTGTCTTGTAAGAAGAACCTTCTGTATAGTGGTGCCCTCAAACAGTGTCTTGTAAGAAGAACCTTCTGTATAGTGGTGCCCTCAAACAGTGTCTTGTAAGAAGAACCTTTTGTATAGTGGTGCCCTCAAACAGTGTCTTGTAAGAAGAAACTTTTGGTTGCAGTTCAACTAAATCTTCTTGAATGAATTGATCATTTTTTTTTGGTTCATCCAGCTCGGCGTCATTTCGGCCAGACAGACATGAACGAACGGAGTAGCCGCTCCCACACAATATTCTGCATGGTAAGTTGCAGTGAACACGGCCGCTGTCGGTCTTCCAAAAGCCATCCACTCTGTCACTGTACCCTGCCCTGCCGTGGTTTTGCATGGAGAGTTTGACGGTGTGAAACTGTGAAAAGGATTAAAAGAAGTTGTGTATCTTCCTTGAGAGACCTCGTCAATGGACCTTTTTTCTTGTTGCTTTAAACCATTTGTGCAGGCAGTCAAGGTTTGTGGAACGTCTACCTATGGTTGATTACAGGTTTTGCTTCAAATTGCAAAGTTGCTGCGCTGTTATCAAAGATAGTGGTATTTCTATTTTTCAATTGCTGCCTAGGATTGCATCAACTTTTTAATCATCCTAGTGCTTTTTGTACTGATGGCCAGCCATTAGTTTTACCAACCGCGGATAGGCCAAAAAGATTGACCATGAGTTAGCAAAGAAGGAAGGAAAGTGTATTTACTAAGAGAAGGCTCCCTGTGCAGTTGTCTGTGTCATGTGTCTTGCTAAGATTTCATGTTGAGCAAGTGATTTCAATGCTAGATTCTCTGGAAGTGCTGTAAGGCCTTGCCAGATGTACTTAAACTACGTCAGAAACTTAAAGGTTCACAGAAATGCTTCATATTATTTCCTTTCTTGTTTTTGGTGTGTGTGCGTACAGATCGTTGAGTCCAGGGAGAGGGCTGATCGGAAGAGGTCTATGGAGCTGGCTGTTAAAGTGTCTCATTTGGTAAGTTATCTTAGAGGGGAAGTCCCTTCCCCGACAGCACATTTGCTACAATAACTCATTTCAGAGCTTTGTAGAAGTAAGCAGTGTGTTTTACAGAAAGATAGCAGTTGCAGACTGTCTGTTCAAAATCATCCCAGCAATTAAAAAATAAAGGCCTCTTTCACGGACTCTTTCTTCTGATTCAGAATCTCGTGGACCTGGCCGGATCGGAGCGGGCCAACGAGACGAAGGCGGAGGGAACCAGGCTGAAAGAAGCCTGCCGCATCAACCAGAGCCTGCACCAGCTGGCCATGGTCATCAACAAGCTCAGCCAAGGAGCGGACTTCATCCCCTTCCGGGACTCCAAGCTGACCCGGATCCTCCAGACGTCGCTGGGAGGAAACGCCAAGACAGCTATCATCTGCACCATCACCCCAGCCTCCATCGACCAGACCCACAGCACCCTCCAGGTACTTGAGCACTTGTACCCATATTCTCATAGCTGACCCGAATTCTTCCACGATATCGACCAAGCCATCAAGCTATCGTTACCCAGACCAAGCCATCAAACTACCTTTTTGGTCCTGTCCATTGCACTGTTGGCATCTTTTTCAAAGTATTAGAATGTTGGTCTTATAGATTTAACATGGTTTTTCCACTTTATTTCAATGAACGTACTGAGGTATTAGTCTGAAATTGATACTTAAAACTATTAACTCTTCTTCCATTTGTCATAAGTTGTTGAATAAGGATCAAAGAGACAAAATAACATTTTATTCACTTCACTCATCAGTGATTGCAGTATCTCCCGGCGTTGGTCAGACCCTATTACTGCAGTGCGGTTAGGTAACACCATCAGACCACGATATGAAAAGTGGTACGTTCGGGTTGTCAGGTGGTTTTCTCACATCCAGTACGAGTTTTTAACTGAACTGTGTTTGATGACTGAATACTCTTTCCCCTTCTGCACAGTTTGCCAGCCGTGCGAAGACCATCAAGAACACGCCAGAGGTCAACGAGGTCCTTTCGGACGAGGCCATGATGCAACGGCAAAAGAAGGAGATCCAGGAACTCAAGAGAAAGATCCTAGAGGTAATGTGAAATATGCCAGGGGTGGGAAAGGAACAAAACTCTTGCCATTTATGAAGCATTCCATCTCTTTCGCCGCATGGAGCTGATTGTGTAAATGGAGCATTCTGACCAGGCTAGGTCCCTTTTTCTTGCGACCAAAGATTTTGACGGCAATCTGAACTCAAATTTTGGTACAAGCAGAAGAAACTGACCAGGGTATTCCCCTTTCCTCCCCCATGTTTAAAGTCACGACACCATACAAATCACCTTCACCCTTCCTTTCCTCTTTCCAAAGCATTCCACCGTTTGCACTCTGGCATTTGGCTCGACAAACCTCCCCAAGCACCGGAAGCCTTTCGGAGAAAAGTACCATCCCATCCCCTTCTCACCTACTTTGCCCAATTTCCCCGCATTAAACCCACACCGTGTCTACATTCTCATCCTCCCGCAGCTTGAGCAGCAGGGCGAGGTGTTGGAAGAGAAGGCCAGCCTCCACGAGCAGCAGGAGCAGAGGATCAAGATGCTGGAGAAGATGATCCTGGTGTCAGGAGGGGGTCGCATCATGCCCGGCTCAGAGACCAAGAAAGCCAAGTACAAGGTAATATTATGTAACATTTCTGGAGATTAAGTGTTTCTCAGAAGTGCCCCAGGCACTGCAGGTTTTGTTAATCATAGTTAATATGATATATTTTATTTGGGAGCAGTGTGGATTTAAAAAAACATCAGAGGCTTATAACCTTTCTGGCTGAGCCAATTACCCTTATCCAAAAGCAAGATATTCCACAAAATGTAGTTTCAAACTTTAATAAGAGCCTGCCTGAACTGCCAGCATTCCCCGGTAACCCAGGCCCCTGCTTGTTAGGAAGGATGCAACGTCAGATTGTAGGTTTGACAGGGTTTGAGTGGGTATACCATGGGTTAGATCCTCCCGTTTTAATACCCATCCTTCAAATTTGCATTCATTCCTTTACTGCCTCCAGCGTCGTCAGACCTGGTGTCCAGGCACCGGCCCTCTCCCTCTCCTGCCGATCACCAAGCCGGCCGCCCCCTCAACGATCGAGGAGGCATCCTTCGTCTCGCAGAGGACCCACAATTCCTCGGACGGAGCTGACTCGTCCCCGTCAGCCTCCATCAGCCCCACCGCCTCCACCTGCAGCGATGGTGAGTGGCTCCATCATTGCAACAAATTCAAAAGTCTGAGAAATAAAATGGATCATGTTCTCAACTCCATCAGATTAATTTGATACAATACACAGATCAGTGAGACTGGCACTCCCATGTTCATTACTCAGGTTAGAAGGACAACACACATGTTGAAATACAGGGTTTGTTTGTTTCACACAGATGCGGACCGTGATCAGTGATCATTAGTTTACCGACACCAGAGCCCATCCAATGAATAGTGAGTGAGAAGGGGCTTTAGGATCACTGATCAACATCTTGATCCACGTGAAACAAGCAAGCCCATAGACATTATGGGACCAACAATATAACATAGGAATAAATGTCTAATGCCGATGAGATATACCATAATTTGGCAAAAAATTGAAGGGGTTTTGAGGGGGTTTTTTTTTATAAGGATGTGCTGGTCATTTTTGTCCGTGTTTTTTACTTGGACAGACTTCTCTCGCACTAAAGAGCTGGAGTTCATGGAGGACATGGAGAGTAGGGAGAACCTGGGAGAGGACAACAGCTTCCTGGCTCCGCTTCCCCTCAGCCCTCAGAGGCAGAGGAGGAAGCGACGCCGGGCTCACGTACACTTCTCCATGCCCGGGGAATCAAACACTGCAGATGTGGAATGCCAAACTGAGGTTAGTCTGGTCGGACTTTGGAGCCTGAATCTTTCAGCTTTTGTTTTAAAAGTTGAATGTCTGACTCTCAATTTTGAATTTGTATCTAAGTTATGATTCCCACTTTCTTCGCACTTTGCAGAGTGAGTTTTGTTATCTTTCTTGCATTTCACTGAGAAAGGAGTTACCGATCCCTTTTCTCTTTCTGATTTGGACTTAAATATCCATGTCATCAATACTTATCTTTTGTTAAGAAGGTTTTTCTTTTATATATTCTGCAGGGCCAATTGTTCCCTTTTTATTTTAGAAAAGAGTTATGTTAAAATCGGTCTTTAATTTTTCTTCTTAGCCATCAGAGGCAGACAAAAGCAGTGATAGTGAAATTAACCATGATGACAAGGTAGTCAACTTGGAGGAGGGAAAGATGTCGGAGGAACTTCAAGAGGCACTGGAGCAATCAAAGAAACAAGCAGAGGGCCTTCAGGCCAGAATTGTGGAGTTAGAGAATATTACTTCCTCCAGGGAAGGAGCAGAGGAGGCAACGAAAGAGGCTCTACAAGCATCGAATGATCGCTGCTGCGAGCTGCAGCGTCAAGTCGCCTGTCTCGAAGGGAAAGTAGCAGGGCTGGAAGACGAGAAAGCTGCAGCGTCACAGCAACTGCAGAGCCAGGAAGCCCTGATACAGGAATGCAAAGAGTGGAGGGAGAAGAGCCAAGAACTGGAGAGGAAGGTGTGTCGTCTCGAAGAGGAGAACGAGATGGTGAATCAGCTGTCAGATGCCTTGTGCCTGTCCGAGGAGAAAGTGGGGGAGCTTGAGAGCCATATCCAGGATGCTGATTGCAGAGTTGCCGCCCTGACTGAGGAAGTCTGCGCATTGACGGCTCAGCTCAAAGAGAAGCAGGGCTCGGCAGCCGACACTGCCAACAAATTGGAGCTTGAAATCCTGGCCCTAAAGGCGCAATTGGAGGAGCGCAATGAAGCCCTCTCCCTGGCCTCTCAGAAGTCGGCAGTGGAGGTGTCAGGCCTACAGGAAACCATCCAGGGGCTGGAGGCGGCCGTCTCTCATCTGAAGATGGAGCGGGAGGAGTTGTCAGCTCTCCCCCAGAGTCTCAAGGAGAGAGAGGCTAAAATTGAGGAGCTGTGCCGGATGCAACAACAAGCAGAAGAAGCCATCACTACCTTGAAGCAGGAGAAGGCTGTAATGAGCCAACAGTTGGATGAACAAAATTCCCAGAGTAAACAGAACTACAGAGAAGCCGATGAGCATACTGCCAAAGTTCAAGGTAGGGCTTCCTTAGGGCATTCAGTCTTTAATGGAACTCTCAGTCACATTGAGAATGGCATTGGCCATGTCTGATTGCTTGGCTAGGACTTAAGATAGCACATGTGCTAATGATGGCTGCCAGCTAGCGGCTTCAGGCATTTCGCATAGATGCATGCATTATATCTATCCATAGCCCAGAAATTTAGACACAGCCATCGAGTTAGTTGAATAAATGTGTGTTATACATCCATTTCTGGTTGCCATGTAGTTTGTAATCTTTAAGGCTTTGCTCACAACTTCAAAGTCGTAAAGAAGTGATGACATAATTTATTGAACAGAGCTTGAGGAGGCCGTTCAGTTGCGGGATGAAGAGCTGGAGGTGGTGAACCAACTCCTGGAGGAGCAGCGACTGGAGCTGGAGGCCGTCAACCAGATCCTGGACAGGCAGCGAGGGGTGGCCGAGAAGTGTGAAGAGGAGGCTGCCCAAAAGATGGCCGCCTTGGCCCAGGAGGTTCAAGACCTCGGGAAGCTGGCGGAGGAGCGAAGCTGGGAAGTGGAGACCCTACGCTGTCGGCTGGAGGAGCAGCGGCCCGAAGTGAAAATTCAGATGCAAGACTCTGCGGCCGCGACTACTGCCCAGTCCAAGCAGCTGAGAGATGTCGAAAAGAAGCAGGAGTCAGTTGATGAGGATGGGGGGATGGGGCACACTCTGCCCGAGGAGCTTACGAGAGAGTCTGTCATCACATCAAGGAGAGAGCTGAAGAAGGCCGAAGAAAGAGTGAAAGGTAATTTTGAAAAACAAGAAGTGGAGAAAATTCAACCATTTCCAAGAAAAATAATACTTGTCTCCAATTAAAAAAAATGAAAAAGACTGATAAAAGAATCCATATTAAATTTGTAAAAAAATCAGATTTTTAGAAATAAAAAAGTGTATATTCGAAAACACTGCTACATGCTTTCAAATTTGTTTATTTTTGTTTTTTCCCCATGGCCAGAGCTGACCAGATTACTTGGTGCCCGGCAGGATGAGCTTGAAACCCTCAACACCTTCCTGGAGGAGCAAGGCAAGGAGGCAGAGGAGGCCAGGAGCCACCACGTGGCAAGGATCACCGAGCTGACAGCCCTCCTAGAGGAACAGCAGGGCCAGCTGGCCTTGTCTGCCGCGGTACCCCTCACTAGTAGTAGCGCGGAGAGCAAGGTAGAGCCCTCCCTGGCAGATGAACTGGAAGCCGAGGAGTGGAAAGCAAAGGTATCAAAGTGATCGCGGGAAGTATGTGTTGGACTGATCCAGTTCAATATTCCAACAGTACATGCTCAAAATAAAGCACATCTGAGATCATTTATGTGCAGTGCGAAGTCTGCCCTGTCAACACCAACCCTGCAAAGGCTCCCATGCCTGGTTTGTTCTCAAATGACATTGCCCTTTTTAAAACACTTAACTGGCTCACTAACAAGCATCATGTTTAGCCCGCAGCCAGTAGTCTCTGGCTAACCGTCACCTTCATGGTAAAAAACTCTGTCACAGTCTGTTCTGTTATCAGCGGATATTGATGGGCTGAACGTGGCTTATGTTCATGCCCACTAGTCTCATTGATGAACAACTGTAGATGAACAGGCTGGTCTACTGTCTTACTGGTCTGCAAGTCTTAAACAGCATGGGCAAAAATTGGGAGTCGATGGACATCCGTTATTAATTGTTGTGTGAGATCATGACATTCAGGCTATTCTCACGAGGCAGCTACAGTCCACCCTTATTAATAAGAGGTCCTTTGTACTGTCCAGTTTGCCTCGTTATAACAGGAACCATATACTACCAGTAATGAAAACAAGAAAGAGCCAAGGAGTAGGACCTAACAATTTCCTTTCCTAAGCAGATTTATGTACTAATAGTGCTCTTATTAGCGAGGCTTGACTACATGCTCGATGAGCTTGTACCGCTGCTGTCAGTGAACCCAGAGGTGCAAGCGGTTACCTGGCAACGTGTTACTGATGTGGGACATCTACAATTTAATTTCAAATTTACCTCGAGTTCTGATTTAAATCGAACCTTTTTCCCTCCGTGCATCAGGCGAGAAGAACAGAGTCCGACCTACTGGGGTCCGTCCAACTCTGCGAAGAGATCATGGAGGAGAAGACAAAGATCTCCCAGGAGAGGAATCAGTTGTAAGTTGAAGGAGATAATGTAAGACCTCTTGGTGTAAATTACACCCACTGCCTGTTAGCTTTCCCAAAGCCATCCCCCCTGGAGCCTCGATCATCGCCAACTTGAGAAAGGAAAGTTGATCAATACATTGTTCTTACTATTCACTTTGTTACGATGCAGGGAAGCGGAGTGCAAGAGCCTGAAGGAGTCACTCAGGGGCAAGGTGTCGGAGCTGAAGGTGCTGCAAGAGCTTCATGAATTCACCCAGATTGAAGCCGAATTGACCAAGGAACAAGAGGTGCCTGCAATCGTACAATCAGAGTGAAGAGAGAAATCTCTGTCCTCTTTTAAGATCTTACATTTCAGGAGAGCTGAGCTTTCCTGGAAGATGAGAACACAGATGTCTGAGATGTTAAGCCAGAATAACAATCTGTTGGTTACTCTGGTATTGGAGGATTTCTTTGAGGGTTTACCACCTTTCTGAGATCACAATATTGTTATTACTACGTGTACTAATTTTTTCTGGTGATGACACCAAGGATCCTCAAAAATGCCCTTGGCACTGTAGTTCGGAAGCCTAAATTTTGGATGATGATATGAAGTGCTTGGGAAGCTCGATACTGATGAAGATGTCTTTTTCAAATCTGCAGGTGCAGTATCAAAATGACATTGAGGATCTCAAGAAGAAGCTAGCAGATCAAGAGAGGTCTCTGGCTGAGCAGTACCGTCAAGAGATAGCAGAACTGCAGAAGAAGCTCGGCTCCAAGGACAAAGTCCTGGAAGCTGAGTACCAGCGGGACATAGATGAGCTACTGAACAAGCTCCGAGAGAAGAGCCAGAGTTTTAATGCCCTTCAAGAACAAAATGCGGGTCTCATCCAAGCTGTGAGCCAGAAGGAGCAGCTGGCAGAAAGTCTTCAAGAACGGCTGAATCTGTTGATCAGTGATGGTGAATCTGCCATACAGAAGATAGTTGATAGTTCAGAATCCTCCACTCAGGTCTCACCTGACGTAGTGGGATTCCTCACCAATGAAGCAGCTGCTCAAACAGAGGCAGTCCAAGACAAAACGAATGAGCAAGTAGAGACAACCCTTCCACCTGATACCCTGCAGCAGAGGGTAGCTGAGCTTGAGTCAAGCGAGGCAGCCTTGCGGCAGGAGTGCCAAGCCCTGACAACAACTGTCAGCAGCCAGGACCAGGAAATTGAGGTCCTCAAGGAGATCCTCCAGGAGTACCAACAGGACGATGGGGAGGCAGACAACCACACCAAAATTGCAGCTTTTGCCCAACGCATTGAAGAACTGGAAGAGCAGCTCAAGGCCTCTGCCTCCAGCCACCAGACGCTGCCTCTTCCTGATGCCATCCAAATACCTGTCTCTGGTCAGGAGCTTGATGCCCTAATGGAAGAAAATCAAAGTCTTATGGATGCCCTTGCTAGGTCTCAGAGCCTCGGTGAAAAACTTCAAGGAAAGGTACAAGATCTAGAGAGAACTACGGAACAAGGAGCCAGTACCCATGCAGAGCTGTCGCGTCTGAGGGAAGAGCTTGGAGTCCTGACCAAGACTAATTTGTCTCTCTCTGAGAAACTGTCAACGATTGAGACATACTGCAGCAAACTGGAGGCAAAGATTCTCCTGCTGGAAAACTGCCAGAAAAAGGAGGATAGTCAAGAAATCCATCTTGCCTCTGAGGCTGTACAGTGTCAGTTGGAAGACACAGCCTCCCAGAAGGCTGAGTTGGATCGGATGGAAGATGATTTTAAGAGCAGGATCAAGCACTTGGAGGAATGCACCAAGAAATTGAGACAAGAAAATCAAGCCTTGATGGGGAATTCTCAAGAGTTGGAGCAGGTTAACCAGGAAAGTGCACGCGAGAAGGAATCTTTACTGGAAGAGCAAGCTGTCCTCAAACAGCTCTTAGAGGAGGGCTCAAGCAAAATGCACGAGTTGGAAGAGGCAGTGTCTGTACTTAGGAATCAGTCCAGAGAGGATACCAAAACAATTAAAAATCAAACTGATGAAATTGAGATGCTGCGGCAAGTCCTTGGAGAACAAGAGCAGCAGCTACAGGCCACCAGAGATGACTACAAGGATTCTGTCTCACGGATGCAGGAACTTGAGAGCATGATCGATGCCGTGAACCGTAAAAATGCTGACCAAGCAATGGAGAAAGACCAGGAAGAGAATGAAATTTGTAGGCTGCGGAGTACTCTGGAGGTCAAGGAAGAACTATTACAAACCAAGGTGGGGCAAAACTTGGAACTGCAGTCTAGGATAGAACATCTGGAATCTGCCCTGGATGCCAACATCGGGAAGCTGCAAGAAAAAATACAAGCTGAAGCAGAGCAACTTGGTGAAATTCAGCGGCTACAGGAATGTTTAGAGGAGCAGGCCAATCGGCAGAGGAGCAAAGATGAAAAGTGCATGAAGCTCGAGGCAGGACTGCAAGACCTAGAGAATGTCATGCACTCCAGGAGCACTGAATGGGAATCAACCCAATCGAGGCAGCAGGAGGAGATCCAGCTGTTGCAGTTAGAGCTGGACAACGTGAGGGACACATTCAGCCCACTGAGAGACAGCCATGCAGACTTGCAGGCCACCTTCAGGGACCAGGAGGCCAGGATCAAGGACATGCAAGCTGTCATCACCAAGCAGGATGAGGAACTTAAGGTTTTCCGAGCCCTACTCGACGAACGCAACCGCAAGGTTCTCCATCATGAAGACAAGCATTACGAGATGCTAACAAAGATTGAAAATCTCGAAAGTGGCCATTCAAACAAGGAGCACACCATCAAACAATTGGAAGAGACCGTCAGCCAACGGGATGAAGAGCTTCAGCAACTTTATACAGCTCTATCGAGTCAAGAAAAAGAGTTCCATGCTCAGTGCTCAGAGCTCAAAGAGCAGCTGCAGGCGGCCAGAAATTCCCTCAATACCAAAGAAGATCGAATGAAGCAGCTGGAGGAACTAGTAGAACAGAGAGGTGACGAGGTAGCATCCTTGCAGCACCAGCTTGGAGAATACTGCCAACAGAAGCATAGGTTCCTGACCGAGGTCTCCCAGAAGGAGGAAGATCTCTGCAGCTTGCAGCAAGCTCTCGAGGATGCTCAGCAGAGGAACAGGAGTGCCGCCCTGGAGATCCAAGCCCTGGAGGCCCAGGTGCACCAACTGAAGGCAGAGCTGGAGAATTTAAAGGTTTCTCCAGACCTGACGGATGATGTCAGAAGACTCCAAGCAGAAAAGGTATTAAGCCTACTGAAACTCCATCCTTCACAAACTTTAAAGAAAACCCCTTTTTAAAATCTATAAAGTACCTAATTTTCATCAGTGACTGTGTGAAAACAAGGGCCTGAGACACTCATAAACAGAAAAGAAACTCAGATTCATGCAAGATGTACACTGTAGTGTTTCTTCGCACACTCTCTCTGCCACATCGTCAACATTTGGCCCATCTGGAAATTTCCGCTACGCTGGTTTTCTTGCCCTTTACAGCTCTTGAGTTTTTTCATGTCGTTTTCTCTCGTCCTCTGCCAGAACGAGCTCCAGGCCCAGCTGGAGAAGGCCACCAAGAAGTTGCAGCGGAAGACGGCCAACCTGGACAAACTAGACGACGCCTTTGAGACCCTGCAGCAGGACCACTGCTCCCTGGAGGATAAGTACGAGGAAGAAAAGGCTGAACACCAGCAGACAAAGAACAAGCTACAAGAAGCTGAGGTACATCTTTAGTATTTTTTTAATAATAGTACCGGTAATAACAATTCATTCTTAATAATGCATATTACTTTAAACTCTCCAAACGCTTCACCAAAATACATTAAAAAATAAATCAGCTTAATTATAAGTATAAATAGTTAAAAAATCAACATTTTTTTAAACAAAAGTTTTGAGTTGTCATTTCAAATTTCCCAAATTGTCAATTTTTTTCCAACCGGGTTACTATTACTTTATTATACAGAATGGGTCATTGATTAGCCGATTCCAGGCATTGGTTTCTGGAAAATTCAGTCATGTGAACAGATGGTCGACTGGTACTTAGCATGCAGCTCCACTACCTGGTACTCTTTAAACAGGAGAATAACGGTTTCCTGCACAGTGTTGGATTTCAAACAATTTGAGCTTCTTTCCACAATTGCCAGGCATTATGTTTGAAATGCTCACTGTCCTTCAAAGAGTAACACTTGCGCCTTACGGCGCTTTAAGCTTGAATCTGCAATCATGCAGTGTTCATGTGAAGAGCACAGACTGATACAACAACCAGAATGAGAGACCTTTACTGCCATCGTGTGTGCACGCAGATGATGCGTGCACGTGACGTTTCTTTTTGACCAGTGTGGTGTCGCGACTTGTCAAAATGCGTGCACGCGCTCAAGTTAAAACTGGTACGTGAGAGTGATGGCCCCACACGAATGGTGTCTCCTCGGACTTGTCTATAACTGCCTCCTAAGTGCCAGTCGACGTGTCTTAAACCTGTACACAAACCCTGAATCCATTATTTCACAGGCCAGCCAGGCTAAGCTCAAAGAACGAGACAGACAGAACCAGAGTGTGGAGGAGCTGATGAAGGCTCACAAGCAGCAGCTGGCGGAGAAGAACCTACGGATCAACGAGCTGGAGACGGATCTGCTGAGGGGAACCGATCCGCTGGAGGATAAGTATGTTCACACCTTTCCCCTCACTGAGGATTTGACCGGGCTGTGTCTGAGTCACTTTTAGCTGTGAAATAAAAGTTGTGCACTCTGAGACGGGGTACCAGCTGAAATTGTACACAATATCTGCTTCGTTTGAAGTTGTGGCCGGAATGCGGGACTGGCTTTGGTGAATATGTTTCTCAGAGTATTGGCTTCTTGCTTCAAAGTGACCCTTGTATCGTGCTAATACATGATATAACTGCAGGGGGATATGTGTCCCCCCGGCAAATAAGCAGCAAGTAGCAGTTGGTCGGCTTTTACTGTATCCCCCTTAAAAACATGAGTGCACCCCCGAGGTAACTCCCGAGACTTTCACTGTACGCTGTTTTAGCTAGAGGCGCTCATGTTGCCTCTGAGCGTGTATCTGTAACCAGGTTAGAGAGAGGAGAATATAAATTGTACCTATTGACATGTAAAACCAAATCACCATTTTAATCACCAATTCACTAGTGTTCAGTCTATTCTGTCTTTCACATTTCCAATTTTCTTTGACCAGGATAAGATCTCTGAGATCAGAGGTCCAGTACCAAGAGCGTAAAGTGCAACAGTACAAGAAGGAAGCGGAGAAACTCCGCAGCGCTCAGTCACGGCAGGGTCAGTTCCACCTGTCTAAACTTCTTCGGTCCTCCTGTGTATTTCCACCCCTACCTGTCTTGCTTTGCCAGCCACTGTACAGAAAGGCCGGAATTTTCTGCTTTAAAAAAACCAATTGTCAGAAATCACTCGAGTCAATGCCCACTCGTCCTCAAACTGTGTGTGTTTTTTTGTTCTGTTAAAAACTTGAATTGTAAATCGTCCAGCTCCCTCACAAATGTTTAAGCCCTTTCCAGTCCTCTTCGCTAAACCCGCTTAAACCCCCCGTCCCCAGCAGATAATTTTTGGCTCTTGAAGTATACAAATGAGGCCTTAAATTTGTCTTGGGTCAAAGCATTGACTGTCAGCACCCAGTCCAGTCGAGCCCAGGAGACAGAGAGTAGTGCTCTGTGCAGTAGATTTTGCTGTGAGGATTCAATCAACCTCCGAGGTTTTCACCAAAATATATTTGGCATAATTATGTAGGACCCCAGGCTTCCCAGAATGTGTCAGCCACGGCGCCTGAGCGGCCCCCTGAAGCCACAGGAGGGTCGGGTATCATTGAGAGCTGTGCCATCTTCGCCATCAAGGCCGAGAACCACAAGCTGACCAAGGCGCTAGAGAAGGCCAAACGAGAGTTGGAACACAAAGACATGAAGTACCACGACCAGGTGTAAGTACCTGGGATCTGCGCAGGTTTAGGGCTGGGTCAAATATTCTTGCATTCGAATAACTGTGTATCAAATGCTTGAATATTTGGAAATGAAATAAGAGCAATGAAGATCAATTTTTATTATTGCATTTAATTTAATACTGGAGTTTTATTGGTCCAGTTTTGTTGCTGAAACCTTCCTGGTTTTGCTACTTACTGAACTGACTTCTGATTGTAATGGAAAGCTACTTCAAATTCGTGCTCAAAAGTTGGTCTTGAAAATTTTCCAATTTTCTTCTTTGTTTTAACTTTTGATTCCATGTATGATCACCGATTATTAGGGAAAAAGCAATGTCATTGGAGAAGCCAAGATTTTTTGACAGCTTCAAGAGTTTTTCTGGCTTCAACTTGTAAAATTTATTCTGTTGCTATTTTCATACTCAAGCTTAATTCATCTTTTTCTGGCCTACAGTTCTAAGAAAACGGCAGCGGAACAAGAGACCCGTTACTGGAAGGACAAGGCCAAATCACTGGCCAGTCATCTGAAGAGGGCACCTACCAGTCACGTCACTGATGCGATCATTTCATCGCCACTCAAAGGTGTGCAGAAATTGACTCAGGAATATTAGTCTGGCATTTTGCTGAGAAAGGGAGCTCCATCGTAATGGCTATTGTTACATAAGTCCAGACCCTGTGGATTATCTTGGCGAGACATTCTATCAAGTCCAACAGCATCCAAGCATTGTCAAAATAAGCTTGCTCGGTGTAATAAGATCCTATCGGTCAGCTGTCCCAAGGCCTGAATGGTCTTACCTTCTGAGGTGGACTTTACGATCCAAGAATAATATTGTCCAGTAGGGATTTGTAGTTTGCATTCACCTTGAGTATGAACCGGCCTTAACGAGTTGAGCCAGGTTGGGGTAAGTTTAATATGCTGTGGTGGAAGTAGCCACAAAGTTCTAATGTACTGTTCATTTTGTTTTTCTACTTCCCATCCCCCTCTCCCTCAGAGCGAGATGCCAACGACCCAACCAGCCACCAGACCAACCCCAAGAAGTTCAGGCCCAACAATGCGCCCGGACCCAAATACGTGGAGAAGATCTCAGGTCTACAGCCGAGTGGGCAGGCCACAACTGCCGGAGCTCCCCGACAGCCGCTAGATGACCACAACTGGCTGACCAAGGCGGTCGCAGAGAGGGACGCTGCTGAGGTAGTAAAGGGGAGCGACACTGACGACCCCCAGCAGTGCGCCACTCAGTGAGCGTGGTAGTCCAACCTCCCCCCCCCCCCATGGCATTGTAAATGGTGGCACACGTGATGGCAGGCCCACCGTCCGGGCATTGCAAAATGTGTGAACGCTCAGTACGGCTTGTAACTGTTTTCAACACTGATCAGTTCAGGATTCCCTCATCACACATCATATGTCCCCTTCCTCCCGCCGTACCCAACACATTCCTCTGCTCAATCCCCATACACCCACTCCTAGGTACCTATGGCCTTGAATTTCTCCTTAGCCCCCTCCCAACGCTCCTTCTGACCTTTTTTACCATCACCCCCCCCCAAAGAAAATCTGCCCATATTTCATATTCCTGAACAAATTAAGACTAAAAAGCACAAAGCACTACTCTTTCTCCAGATGCTGTGTAAAGATACACCGTTTTAAATGTATAATCTTGTGTCTTTTGTAGTTTCAAATAAGTATTCTCGCATGTAATGTTTAAAAAAGAACACAGACTTCTAGCACGAAAGAACTGATAGTTTGTGTTCTCAGCCAAGCCTATCGTAAATAAAGTTGGATGTAACAATTACACAATTACAGTTGGACATAATAATTATATTTATATAATTCCATGGCCTAACTTTTAGTGTCTAGTGTACAAAATATACTGCACTTGCTTTGATAGCCCAATGAAAAGACTATTTTGAAGGAGAACTCGTTTGACTTTCCCAATTACATGCGTTTTCATTTGCAAAGGAACATATCCTCTGCCAGACTGATTCGTTGTCGACCAGTTTGAGCCTTCTGTGTCATCTCTTGGTAGAATATGTGTTTAAATTCTGCTTATGTTCACTATTCTAACTGTCACTTTTCAGGCAGCTAATTTATTTATTTTGATTTTTTTTTTGCTTCTTCATCAACAAATGTAAATAAAAAAAAACATTTACGCCGTCGCCGTGGCATTTTTCCCTTAGGATTCTTCATTTTTAAGCTTTCATTTGATTCTCGTGTGGTAGCTTTGAAACTGAAACTCTCTATGTGCCCGAAAGAAAATTTAAAATTTCCAAGTACTATCTCTCTGATATTATTTCGGAGATATTACCGTGAGCTTGACCTGGCTGGAATTCATTCAAGACACTTGAGTAAAATACTGGCAGTCAAGCATTTGACCAGGACGCTCTCCATTTCCCCCGAGGCTTGGAGCCTTGATTACCGGCCGGGGTCGTCTCAGCGTGTCGGTCTCTGTTGACCAAATCGTCGTCCAAACCACGACGTGTGTCAGAGAGCGAGCGCTCATAAGGGAAAACCGTTGTGTAGGCAACCGTACCTCTTAAATCTCAATTTATTATCCGGCCTCGGCGGCTGCCTATCGTTGTCTGGCTTACGTGTGCTGGATTCGTTGATCAGTTGAAACTGTCGTATCATAGAGCTATGGCTAATATCCCTCCAACTCTCATATCATTTTAGTGTTTCAGAAACCTGGGTTCGGCATTTGGTTTGAATGAAGTGCAGTTATAAATATTGTAACAGATCTGATACGATGTGATTATCTTTTGGCTTGCCAAATTTCATACACATTGTAAAATGAACTGCAAGGAAAAGCCTCACCCAGAAATCCAAGAAGAATATAAAGCTGATTTAATGCTAAAGCATCCGTCGCCTTGGTGATGACTTGTGGCTCTCAGCCGTCGTTGCTAAATTCTCACAATGCGTCACATACCAATGTCCGCTTACTTCAACAATCTCGTAATTTGCTGCTCTATCTTTGTGATTTTATCAGGCCTTTCTATAGAAAGGCCAGTTAAAAATTCGTTGTTTTCTTATACACGTCTCTCTGCACGGAAATCTTTAGTAAAAGGCGAAAGATTTATACGAATTGCAGAGAAACCCAAGATAACCCGTTTGATTGGATGGCCACCAAGCAGGCTCGCAAGTTCCTCAAGACACTCACGGTGGTTTCTTTCAAAACTAATAAGTCGACCTTGCGATGGGCGTTGATTAATGTATTCATTTTTTGCGTACCATATGCAAATTAAGTTCAATCTAGTAGGTAGTGCGGAGCCCCGAAGTCTATTTTCAGCGTCATCTTTTGACTCCTGTCAAGACACTCCCCATCATACGATTGGCCTGAATTCGGTTGTGGAAACCAACTCGTCTTTCTATCCAGTGTAACGTAAGAGGCCTGTAAAATGAAGTGGATTGTGTCAGGTCCGAACAGAATGTATCATCGACACGTTCTGTGGTCTGTTTGTAGTTCAGTCGTTAATCTTATAACTTGCCAAATTCCCTTCGCATTGCAAACTGAACTGCAAGGAAAAGCCTCACCCAAAATTCCACGAAGAATATAAAGCCGACTTAATGCTAAAGCATCCGTCGCCTTGGCGATGACTTGTAGCTCTCAGCCGTCGTTACTAAATTCACACAAAGCGTCTCAAACCGAAGTCGAGTCCGCTTTCTTCAACGATCGCATATTTTGTTGCTCTGTCTTTGTGGTTTTATTAGGCCTTTTTATTGAAAGGCCAGTTAAAAATTCGTTGTTTTCTTATACACGTCTCTCTGCACGGAAATCTTTAGTAAAAGGCGAAAGATTTATACGAGTTGCAGAGAAACCCAAGATAACCCTTTAGATTGGATGGCCACCAAGCAGGCTCGCAAGTTCCTCAAGACACTCACGGTGGTTTCTTTCAAAACTAATAAGTCGACCTTGCGATGGGCGTTGATTAATGTATTCATTTTTTGCGTACCATATGCAAATTAAGTTCAGTCTAGTAGGTAGTGCAGAGCCCGGAAGTCTATTTTCAGCGTCATCTCTTGACTCCTGTCAAGACACTCCCATCATACGATTGGCCTGAATTCGGTTGTGGAAACCAACTCGCCTGACTATCCAGTGTAAAGTAAGAGGCCTGTAACCTGAAGTGGATTGTGTCAGGTCCAAACAGAATGTATCATCGACTCGTTCTGTCGTCTGTTTGTAGTTCAGTCGTTAATCTTATGATTATCTAATAACTTGCCAAATTCCCTTCGCATTGCAAACTGAACTGCAAGGAAAAGCCTCTCCAAAAAATCCACGAAGAATATAAAGCTGATTTAACGCTAAAAGCTTCCGTCACCTTGATGATGACTTTAATATTAAGATCTACAGCCGTTATTCCTAAATTCACGGAGTATGTACACTTACTTCTACAATCGCGTAATTCGTTGCTCTGTCTTTGTGGTTTTATTAGGCCTTTCTATAGAAAGGCCAGTTAAAAATTCGTTTTTTCTTATACACGTCTCTCTGCACGGAAATCTTTAGTAAAAGGCGAAAGATTTATACGAATTGCAGAGAAACCCAAGATAACCTGTTCGATTGGATGGTCATCGAACACACTTGCAAGTTCCTCGAGACACTCACGGTGGTTTCTTTCAAGACTAATCAGTCAACCATGCGATGGGCGTCGCCTATACGTACCATATGCAAATGAAGTTCACGCCACAAGATACTTTTTTCATGTAAACATATTTTTCTCCACGTGACTTGCAATTCTGTTGCAGGTAGCCCGCAAACTGTAGCGCGAGTTCATGTTCCCTGGTGCCCGGTCCAACTTGAAAACTGACATTCAGTATGAAAGAAGAGGAAGGCCGACAGTATCTCGCGTATTAGCTCAATGAAAGGCTCAAGTGTCTTGGCTAGTTGTTCGGTCAATCTGTTCCTCTGAAAGGTGAATGCATCAAGTGATTTTTTTAAACGACCATGTTCAGTGACTCATTGGGATTGAATTACAGATTCCTGCCACCTTTTGGTAAGTCCAATTTTTGGTTCAGTGTTAGCCCGAGGCACAGTGGGTCGCCTTTTTGCTGTCCAACGCACCATGGGCCTACTTCGTGTAATTTGCAGGCTGCGGCATTACGCGCATTATGAGTCCAGCAGAATGTCCAAATTGACCGTCATGCACGACGCCCAGACCTGAAGTGGTTTGATCCTAATATTCGTCCTGGGGATTAGAACGGGCAAATTCTACCCATGTAGTGGGAAAGTCGGTCCTGCAGATGGACAGCGAAAGGCCGCGAGCAATTGACCTCGTGGTATTTTGAATCGTTTTTGTATTGTGGGGGATGCCGCCATTTTTTTGCTTCTAGTCGGGTGCCTTAGCGATGGCAGGCCAGTATCAGTCTGAATGCAGTGGTTACCGTACCAGCGTGAAAAAGTAGGAAGCGACTTAATACTAGCCCGTGAAACCTGGTGCGCTACTTTTTTTCAGTAGCTGGGGTGATCAATGATTCATGAAGAGGGCACAATGCAATACACCATTTGAGACATTTCAAAAACGGAATCCATTACGTCGCTTCGATAGCTTAGTTGGTAGTGATTTGAACTACAGATCCATAGTCCCTGGTTCGAATCCGACCCATTTGTGCTATTCATTTTCCAATTTTATCATTGTGTTTCGGATTTCCTTTTTCAATTGATGCAGAAACAGAGTCCAAGCATGAACCCTCTAAGAGTCTTGAGAAAAATAGCAGACCAGGTTTTACGGGTTAGTATCTAGTCACTTCCAAAAAAGTAGGCTTACTTAAAGGTCATGTAAATTTTGCAGCTCCATGTTGGGGAAGGGATCCGTAGGTCCCTTCCAGTCACGCTTTAAGCATTTGTATCTGTAACAATAACATTTTAAAAGGCAAAAATGAGAACTTATAAGCTGGCTATGAAGTCTGGTACCTATGCATAACTATGGGAGGGGTCGAAGGAATACATTGTAAGCCTTATCGAAAATACTGCGTGGGTGATTAATTAAGCACAATGGTAGAAAGGCATCGTGGGAAGGAAAAAGGGGCTATGTTTGCTCCTTTTGCCTTCCCACAATGCCTTTCTTCCATTGTGCAAAATCACCCATGCAGTGTTTGCGATAAAGCTTATGACAGTCTCAAAGTAAATAAAAATAAGCAAAACAACTTCGGGGGATTCATCATTTCGATCGTGGAGCCATTTAGTAGTTCCATGGTTGGAGCAAATTCATCGGCACGAACACTCGTTCACACTTCATTCACAATTAAAACGATTAGTACAATTGCAAATATATAATCTGAATATATTATCTTAACATTGCCACTATATACTTAATTATATTACAGTACAAGCCTACTCGCATTAATCAGTAAAATAATCACTGCATACAAATATCTTCAACCACGGCACTTTGACACATACGACCAACGGTATCTTGGGTTGTAGGGTAACATGGTGAACATCCACTTTGTTGTGGATGGGGTGTAGGCCTATCCGTTAAATCGACAGGGTTGATATTTTTCAAAATGGCTTCACCAGGCTCAATGAACTAAATCCGCATTTTAATGCTCACTTCTGTTCTGGTGCAATATAATGTAAATCTGTCAATGCGATGTATCCAGTGAGTGCATCACTAGTGTCACTCGGTTGAGATACACTCATTTTTTTCTCTTTATTGCAGCCAAACAACTTCTAAGATTCATTACAGGTTTACGGCAGCCACAAAAGTAAATAAGCCAAGATATCCTCTTTCCGACAAGGACTCAGATCATGCTTATTATTACAGTGACTCTGGGAAGAAAAATCTCAAGTGGTTTTTTTTTTCCGATGCGAATCCATTAACATTTGGTCGAGAGTCCTCCCTATAGCACCATTTTGAAACCGACTGCATATTTTTTTCAATAAAGGAACATATGTAGAAGTCACATGATGCAAAGTGGGAACCAGGCACTGGGAACTGGCACCAATGACACTTTGTTATTATTTCAGTCGTCCATAGACATCAGTATAATTACGTAATTAAGAGTGTTCATATTATATCATGTCCATTATTTCAGTGTGCACAATTATTATTAACATTCATAACCCATGAAACCGTAATAGACATTATACTAACAGACGTTTATAGATTGAAAAATAAATCTATCGGCCTGTTTCCCAGAGGAATATATTGCATACGAGTATATGACAATATAAGATACAGTATGATATAATCTCACAAATGCAAAGCAATTGATACATTTCAGTTTTTACAAGCAAGAAGCTAGGGCTTAGTCTTCTGTGTATTTACCGATATTAAATCTGCTTTTAACTGGTCTTTCATTATGGCCTACACCGTTCGCATTTCATATCTACTTACTGCGCACTTCATTCTGCTACATTCATTCATCTTTACTGCAATGTGCTTTTGATAAACATTCTTCACTTTTCTGTACTGTTTCTGTTGTCTGACACTGCGTTTAGGTATTAAGTGGTTGGCATTATGACGGCCTATTCGTCTTATCATCATTTTTGCAATGCATGCAATACGGGCCAACGGGTATACTGGCTATAATGAATATGCACAGAGCCAGCTGGTTCCCCGTTTTATACTCGTAATAGGCCTAATCGCTAGGTTGCCAGCTTATCCGTTTGAGGCCACTCCCTCTGCAAACTGGTGCATGGTACCAGCGTGAAACAGGAATATTGCCGTGTGATATCACAGTTTGTTATAGCTCCATATTCAAGCCTTTAAAACACTGCTCCCGCAAGACCACAAAGTGTACATGCAGACCTACTAAGTAAGTATTGTGTGCCACTTCGAACCCAGTGCCCGAACAAAATACAAAAATTTCCAGCCTATTTTTAGCTCGAATGTTTGATAGACTTTGAAAGAAATTCGGGTGCATAAAGTCTAGAACCTAATATAAATCAATAATCTACTTAGCCGAACCAACTTCTCTTTTGAGCTTCTCGATGGCTGGGTCGACTTTGTATTCCTGGTTTAACGTCAGAAGCTGCGAACGAGGAGGGAAAAGAACCTTTTAATGTGTGGGTTGTTTCTGCGGCCGAATGTGAACACAGTCCAGTTAATCTGGAACATGGAACCCAGTATGGTCACCCGTCAATCGGGCTGTGAGCCAAATTCTGCTTCCTGTTTTTCTTCGAGGAGGGGCGGAAGGGGAAATTTATCGGTGGAGCTTTTCTTAAGAAGTTAACTTTAATGACATCGCATGCACCTTCTGTGAAGCGAAAGTCAAAACTTGCAGGATACCTTACCAACATGCATCTAATACTCATAGAAACGAATGAAACACACAGAAAGCACTAGACACGTGATTTTCAATACTGATGTTGCCAAGCCAGCCCCAGCTGTAAACAGTTGGCCCTACGCTGAGTCCCTCAACCTCACGAGAAAAATGAAACTTGCTACAAAAAGATCATGTCGGGATCTTAATGTGACTAACCTTTTTTGATGTTTAGAAAATTTATTTAGATATACAATAGGATCAACTGTCACCCTATTTAGAAGGAATTAGATGTGGACTCAGTGCAGCCCGGTCAGGTTTTTGTTTGGACTTGTTGAGTCTGCGTAATGTAGCCAGGATTGTGTTTACACGAGGAGGCGGTCCAAAATGTCGCTCGGGTTCGTGAACTTTGCGCTGATTATTAACATGAAATATTGGCACATTGTCAGCTAGTGTAGAAAGGTCGCTCGCCATTATTTTTGGTTTCGAGTACATTTACCTGAAAGGTATCAGTCACTTTGTTTACACAAGGTGTGAACTTTCATAATTGGCTAGGGCACTATTTCGTGCGTTGCCAGGATGGAGTGGCCAAAGTTCGCGCCAATTTTAATAAGTGCTCGGCCAAGGTCTATATCGCATAATATAAACCGACAGCACTGGAAGCATAGATGCGTATTACTGAGCGTAATATTTCCATACTGCTGTTAGCCAATATATTTTGTTAAATAGGTAACTAATCAGCGGTGTACATTTGAACTGGAATTTTAATGCAACTGCTATGGGACAACAAGGTTTCCCTCGTTTCCACAAGCAAAGCTCCAACTTAACGCGAAAATTCCAATTTGACTCTCTCTTCAGGAATATTTTCCGTCACATATCTTTTTTAGAAACAACAAAATGTTTATTTCAAGGAGTTCAGTAAGGAAAACAGCCCAAATATCTCGTGGATGGCTTAATTCATTGCCAGCCTGTGATATTGGATTTGCTCTCCAAATAAATCAAATTGTCAAAACAAATTCACTGTGCTCATTGGAAACAAAGAATGCCAGGCCCGCCTGGTTATAAATCAGGGTTGTCTCGCCAGTTACCGTTTGCCTATAGATCCCTTCAACGTTTTCAGTGAGACAGACGACCGTTTCGTGGCAAATGCTCCTCTCAAAATTCCATTCTGCAAGGTTCGACGTTGACAAGATATATGTATCTGACAGTCGCGTATGTCCTTCTCTTGCTGTCTTGAGATTACACTTCGCAGATGATGAGGTGATCGGTTATGGACTGTGAATCCCCTGGATTTTAGGGAAATCAGCAATGCCTTTGCGTGTAGGATGTCGGGTGGAGATTTCTTGTTCTTGTATTTGAACCGAGAGCCCGCCAGATTTTAAAGAATAGAATCGCCTCGAATAAACCGATCGGGTCGCATCCTTTATTCTGTCGCTAAGGGGAAAAGGCGCGAGTGTAATATAAGGTCAGTATTTGGTTGATGGACAGTAAGTGCTTTCGGTGATAATTACCTTTTGTGGCTCTGCTGGGTTGACCCTCTCCCACGGTCTTGGATTGGATCTCTTGAACAACCTTTAAAAAAATAACGTCAGAGTGGAAAGTGCAAGTAGTTGAGAAGGTAACGCTTTGGAAAAGGGGCACCCCCGAGTGTCAGATTTTAGCCGACAATCATTTCTTCTCGGTCTGTGTTTGAGAACTTGAACGCCATGAATAATGCAAACATCACCTATTTGCACATTAGAAAGGCAGCCTAAAAATTCAAACCAGACCAGAGGACTGTTTGGGAAAGAAGACATAAATATTTCGGTGAAAACCGAAACAAAACAGAGAAGAGTCCCTTGCCCTGCGAGATTATGAAGGCATTTGAACAGTAATCTCCAATTTTTGATGCATTTTAGACTTACGCTACGTCGGTCTTCTTCAAGATGCTGAACATGCTGAAGCTTGTTGCTAGGACCATGACAGTCCCAGTGATGACGACTAGCGGTGTCAGCTATAGCGGCGGGAAAGAAGAGATAACACAATCAGAGAGGGAAGAACCAATTTATGATATTTCACCATCAGATTCCTTGATTACCCCCTGAGGGCTCGTCTAAAACTATGAACAAACACAGCTCACATCTGTGAATATTTGGGGACGTCTTGGTTTCTGAATAGGCCTAGATGTAAACATTTTTTTCAAAGTCAACATGTAAAAATGGAAGTATAAACGGCAATGCGAGGAATCATGTCAGTTTTGCGTGTTGTGCAAACAAACACCAACCAACAATAATTTTGACTTCGTGTGGGCGGTCTAGCAAACCGAAATCGGACAAAGTAGTGGAAATGAGAAGAAATTTGTATGTGCTGAAAATACATCAGCCTTGGATGCAACAACTTGAATGACATAAGTCGTAGTCGACATTGGAACGCCATTCACTACAAGCGGCGATGCTGGCGATACTTTCAAGGCCCTCTTGCGAGGTGATGAAGCGTTTTCTATAACCTAAACGAGTTTACTGATTCTCCCATTGGCCGGCTGCGTGATCGTTACAGTGTGCAGAGCCAAACAACATGAACCCATGGGTGGGATTTGCTGAATGACTCACTCTGACAATGTTCTCAGTTTGGAAAGAGCGCTGCGCATATTTTATGAGCAAAATGCTTATTGATATTCCTAGTCGAAAGGTAATGCATGTTGTAACACGTAATCACGCAGGAATTCAACATCGAACAGACAATCTTTTAATATCTCCCTTTCTGATAAGCTTAGCACTATTGTTGCCTCCTTGGAATGGGTTGATCCAAGCTTTATTTTCAGAATGTTATAAAAGCTCGTACTGGGTGACGCTGCCTTGGCCATTGTTTTGAATAGCTTGATCATGCGTGGTGAATTTTTGTTTAAAAAAAGATGCAAATACAATTTCACTCTGTTTGGTTTAGATTGTTTCGGTTTAGTCTCTTTGTTTGTAACTACATTGGCTCAATTCGTGACACTTTCCATTTCAGCCTTTTCCCCGAAACTATTTCACTACAATTATATTGACGACTCTGAGCATGTAAAACATTTGTGAATCAAATTACAGAATGTACATGTATAGAGTACTTTTAGTTTACAAACCGAAAGGTGTGTAGGCCTACATGAAATCGTGGGGTATATTACCTCATAATTGGCTCTCCCGAGTCTTGCCAGAATCCCTTTGCCTCCAATTCCGTGTCCCATAGTTATCTGAGAGGGAAAAAAATAAATGAGTTTATGAAAATGTCAGACGCACTTTGAAGTCAAGGTCAATTTCTCCTCTGCTAATTCAATTAGCAACCCCACAAAATAGATAGCAAGGGTCAAGAAATTAGAATGGGACATCGCATCGACGACTAGTCGGCAAGTTTAATTCCCAGACGTAGTCATGTGTATTTCTGCTCTTGACCGTGGAGGATCAGAAAAAAGTGTATCAATGTCATTAACGCGCTTGGTTGATGATCAGAGGTGTTACCTTAAAACCTGCTTTGCCTCGGGGCAAAATATAGCCTTACGTGGCATTACATGGCCCTGCATGCGGTGGGAAATTAAATCCGCTGCCGTATTCTTAAGACAAGAATACTTGCGGTGAAAATCAAGTTAAGCGGCGAGAATCATCGAGACCCAATTGGGTGCATGTCGGGTTTTAAGATTGGAATATTGATCTCCAGTCCCGATATAATTGCAGTAAGGGTCATCTGTTACCTTCACTGCAGCTGTGTGTTTATCGAATTCTTTGGCCCTACCTGTTAAAAAAAAACAGAAGCACGGCTGGCCACGCTGGCGATTCTGCCCGTTGGTCTCACACCTGCCCACAATCATATCACTGCTGATAACCCGAACCTTTTGTAGCTAAATTCGATAAACTGTTAATCATAGTATATATTTCTTTTTTGCTTTGTGCTTTGGTTGCGTGGCCTACGTGACCAAAGAATGAAAACGCAACCAGCAACTTTTAATGACGGTGTCAGTAATGTCACGCATCGTTTTCTCTCTTTCACAATTGATAAAAGTAACACATTCACGGAATCTTTCGTTTTTTCATTTGCCAAAAACGCGTGGGCGATGCATGCAGTCTGGCTCCAGGCCGAAGGCCAGATTTGTCTTTGAAAACTTCCCAGAGTAAACGGTGGCGTTAATGCAGGGGGGTCTATTTATAATGGAATAACATAATGCAGACATACCACAATAATTATGAGGCCTATTCCAGTTAAAAAAAAAACAACAACCCCACACAAGGCGTTTCTTTGTGCTGTAAAAATAGGTCAGTGTTAATTTTCAATGTCGTTCAACACTGTAAGTTTTTACTCTTGTCTGTATATGGTAATGATTTTTATCCGCTGTTTTCTTTCTGCCATGTTTGAGACATAATTTTAATCGTGCATCGGCGGAGTCCATTAGGCCTACCCCATTGGAACTGCACTTAAATGATTGATGAACGATGCTGTGAAAGTGGCACGATGGGGTGTCCCACTATTGAAGACTCGTTCACCGTCTGAGCTAAAATTCAAAATCAAAGGAGCTCCCAGATGTCAATTGTCGCGAGTGCTTCTCTCACAATACTCTCTCCCAGCCGCAATTTGTGCACATTGTTAAAACGGCCTGATGAAAGGAAAGGTGCATGTCCGCGATGGTCAGATTTGATAGACTTTTTGAATATTGTTTTTCTGGAAGGATACCCCTCCCCAGTACGCAGGAAACATTTCCTTCATAAAAACCAGTCCTGGGTATGTTTAATTTTTAGGTTTAATTTAGGGAAGTGGCACTTTGTATGGGTCCTTTGTCGGCATGGTGCACACAAAATACGCACTGTACGTTATGCAGGCAAGTGCACTGCCCCAATTTTTCAAGCGCACACGCGAAGGCTAAACCGGCGTCATGCCAAGTTCGTGGTCAGGGTTCTAGGTGCGTACGTGCCGTACAGAACTGGGGAAAAGTGACTCAACAAATTAAGTGTTTTTACACGGAGCTGATAATCGACGTATTTTCCTACCAAAGTGGACGACTGAAATGCCAGAGACTGTCGGTTAGAAGCTGAAACACAATCATTGGTTACTAACCGATTAAAAATGTTTGCCAATGCGTGGGGATACGGCTGTCATGACGACTGACGCGTTCTTTGCTATTGACCAGGCAGACGAATGATTTTCTTGTTCAAGGAGGTCCCAACTATTCAATTTTCCCGATTCTTATAATTGTCAACGAGCAGAGCGACGCGTGGATAGGGAGATCTGTCACTGGAAAGTGATTCTTATCCAAAGAACTTGATTTCTCTTCAACCGAACTCAAGAGAAATCAATTTGCGTATTTGGGCGCTCGAAACAAAACGGAGAATATAGCCCCACGGCTGTTTCCGGTTTCTGGTGGTTAACGAGATGAGTCGGCTCACCGAAACTGGCGGCTCACTCGGAACGTAATCGCATTGTCGTACTCCTTACTTAGGCAAGAGCAATTCCGGGGTTATTGAACAGTCCTAAGATGACAAGGTAATGTTTTTGATGTAAATATAGATTATTTCGCGTTTTGTTTTCCTTTCTTCAGTAGACAACCAGTCACTGCCGTTACATGCAGACCAAATCATTTCTCCCCGGCATGCATTTCTGGAGGCTGTTTGCATCTCTGCGTTAAAAAATTAATGACGCATGGTTCCTGTTTTCTGTTTGATGTTAAAATTAAAATGGAAAATCTCGTATTTATTTAAGCTCACTTCTGATCTTGTGTGCGTGTCTGCGCCGCAAAGAGGCCTTGCCAATTTGCACTCAAACGAGTCAGTGTTCGGTAAAAATGTATCTGCTACAATCAGTGCGGCAAATAAATAATACATCTGTACATGAGCTAGGACCCCCCACCCACACATAACCCCGTGACATGCAGGCAAGCCATTTTATTTCTCCGGGATATATTCATGTTTCAGCAGGTATCCCTCTCGGCCACAGTACGAACTGTCTTGCATCGAAGACCGACTCGGTTGTAAATTGGTGCTTCCGATGTTGAGCGTGAGCGCTCGATCGTATACTACCCGGGTGCTACGACTGTGACGTACTCGTGCGCATGTGGACGAGGACAGTGCGGCGGATAAGCCGGGCGGATCAACGGCGTGCTAAGCGCAATCATGGTATTGAAGGAAAACACTCGTGTGTCTCAAATGCATACTATCGAACTAAACGGGAAATTTAATGCTGTACAAATATGCCATCGGATCAAACGGGAACATGACCCTGTGTGATCGCCCACGATCAATTACGGTAATAATAACAGCTTGACAGAAAACGCCCCGTGGCAGGAATGACCTCCCAATTACAAAAGTGAAACTCAGGAATGTCTATTATTTTTGAAATGTGCGGCAGCGGTCAATGTGAGATCCACGGTTGGGTTGTGCGACACGAAAAGAGGCTAAGCAATATGGGGATGCACATGGGAATGCATTACGTACGGGAGCTAATACATCAGTCATTCACATTATCAAAAATCGTATCTGGACTCCGCAGAATTCTAAGCGAGAGGCCATGGAGACATCTTGGTGGTATTTTGTCCATTCTGTCCTTCGGATTGAACGGTTTTTACTCAAAACATGGAGGAAAGAATGGGAGCAGTGATAACGATCTGATTAAAATCCAAGGAATGTCAAGAGTATCCGGGTGAGAAGGGATTGGAATTGATTATAATATTGAGCGCAGCCTAACTAAGCACACAGTAATGGCTCTCCCAGCATCCAACATCAGTGTTCAAGTCTATTTCAGACCTGCGTAAATGCAGAAAGTCATGTGTAAACTGAAGGGCGCGGTTAGAACGAAATTGAAAAGCCACTTGTGTAGCCTATACGATCCCGAAGAGATATGGAAGCAGAGCAAATATTCAAGGGACAAAATTGAGATCCACCAGCACTTAAAATCAAAACTAAACGAAACAAACAACCACTATCAATACCTCCAAATTTGTCCTAAAATTAATTAATTAATGTTCCCCAAACTTCTTTTTTTCTCTCTCTCTTTATTTTTCAGTACCTCTACCTGCATTATCCTCGTGGAATCGAGGGTCTACAGAATTAAAATCAGTCATGCGCAGACATTGGCAGTTTCCTTTTCGACCGAGTGGAGGATTGGAGATATCAGTGGCCTTCGACAAAAATTAACATGAATGCAATTACTATTACAGGTTCGAAAATCGTTCACACTGAGCAGTCAGGTGGTTCCGTGAAACCATTTTTGATTTTATTAGTGGCTGTCACATAAGCGTGGTGTTAAATATGGCCCGTGGTCTTGCCAAACCCATTGATTGAAAAGTCACAGCTTCTGCAGTTTTCTTTCGGGTTAGAGGAAAATGTCATGAAAAGACAGGTCTCGGGGTGGAATGAGGATATTGTGTCATTTCTTTTCTAGGAGACATCTGATTCTGTCTCATTTGGCCAACCATGCTTCACAGTTTTTCGCAGTCAGACCATGTCAGGTATTTTCAAGGGCCAATTCGCTTCGTAATGGAAAAGGCTGGTTTATTAAGGTCGTTTCACTGAACATAGGGCCTATAAAGTGGCATGAATTTTCACCTGTAAAAACGACAAATGTAAACCAACCCGTTGCAGCGGCCGTGCTATTTCCGTCATTTTGACCTTTGGGAATTGAGAAAACATTAATATCCTGGCTCGGAGCGTACATTTCACCTGAAAGCAGCATTTACATTACAGCAAGTTGACAAAGAAACAAGTGCCTATTTTGTATTATGTCGCACAACATAACGCCACGCCGTCGAGGAAATTTCCAGCAAACTTAAAGAGACATGCACTCGAGTAAAACATTTCGTGGTTTCTGAAAAATTCCACGTATTATTGCCGAGGAAGTGTTAAAGTCGATCGCAATAAAATATCAATTCTTGTATCCTGTGTGATAAAAAATCTAGCTTGCATTTTACGCAACTCAGTGTGAAAGACACTAACATCGCATTCCACGTATGCATGATATCCCACCCAAACATCAATTTTAGGAGACTTTATAGGAGTAATTTAGGAGAAGTGTTATAATTGGGGTTTTCGAACTGTTTTAGATTGTCTTTAAAATCTTTGATTTTGCCAATAGTTATGGCGATACAATCTCACTGACTGAAGTTTGAAGGATGCTGTCTGTTATAATGCCCCGTGAACGCGCGTCAAATTCCGCATACTGCTAATATCATTATTCGCATAAATTTTTAAAAATGATATAATTTAATTTCCATCCCAGATTGTTCAATTCAGACCCTGATGGTTCCTCGAAATCATCAGTGGTACCCGTGGTTTGCATTTGTTTGCAATGTTATGCCGAGACTCCGTTGCAGCAATATAGCAGCGAACAAAGACAAATTTCCCCGTTGGGGCGAGCCGTTCAACGCCAGCTCAACGATCGTAAGTCAGCGTTGCTCCACCCGCGCGTGAATTTTCATGCTCTAACATTCATGTGACTAAACACGACAGGTGCGATTCTGCTCATGTTACCCTGCCTACATTTTGCCTATTTCTAATCAATGCACCAGTCTATACAGCCATTAAAAATCTTTGTAACTTTTCCTTTTCATTTAATTGACAGAATTCGCTGACAATTAAAAACTAATACTTAAAGTGGTAATAGATGTCGGGTTTGTGAAACCAGAAGCCAAAGGTTCCGTTACATGTCCTTTCAAAGATATATTTTCAACGAATATCAATCAAGAAATTCAAGTGCAAAAGAAAAGGCCAACCTTATGACTTATTTTATTGATCGCTCGAAATCATTTAATACTATTATTTCTCTGATGCATCCGTTTAACATTCAAATTCTATACAAAAAAAGGTGAAAAAGTAATTTTAAGCCTTGTGAAAGTAAACAGGTTTACTTACGTTTTGCTTTGACTAAAATATTTTCCAGAAAAAAAGGCCGCCAGAAGTGATCACGCTAGCTTCCTCTGGCCGTTTCTTCCAAGTAGCGCGAACAAGTACGGAGTTGCTACAAACGCTTCGACGCAAATTCAACGAGTCCGTTAGCCGGTGATACTGTTCCTATCCGTTTGGAGAGCGAAAGCGCGTGGCGGTGGTTTTTTCAGCGGCCAGCATTCTGATCCGGCAAATGTTACTACGTCACAAGCGGGCTCTTCCTGGTTCAAGGGAAGAACCGCAGTGTTAATTATAAACGAGGTACGTGCAAAACTGCACGTAGGCCCGCGGTCATTTCAAAGTCTTCGATTGTTTATCATCGACAGCCAGTGACCGATTGTTTACGAAAATATGTTACGGAGAAACGTCAAAGCGACGAATATAGACCACAACCGTTTGTCACGAGCGGGCGTCCCCCGCCGGCATTTATTTTTAATGACCTTGGTCTAATTCTCTGGTTCTCTGGAAATCGGGCTTATGTTTTCCTTCATGTGTTTGATGTAGGCGTATGTAAACATTAACATTGGGGAATTTTGGTTGTCTTCCCGCAAGCTGAGTTATGAGAGAATAAATCCTGGTAGACTTGCCACCAGTCCAGCCTGCAGTCTGGTTACAATGACTGACTACAAATTCCGATCTGTTCGTCAAACGCACTTTTGTTGACACTGTGGCAGTGCCCCTGAAGCCGGAAAAGAGCGGGTCCGGGGCCACCTGGGGCCATTCCCTCCCCGCCCCAACCCCAAAAAAGAGGAGACCATTTTTTTTTCAAGTAATGAAAGGAAAAAAGAAGAAGTTTGTCTTTCATTCCCTTCCTCCGAAAAAAAGTATAACAAGCGCCAAATGAAGGCTCTTCGCTACGAAAGGCCGCGTCATAATAGGCTACAAATTTTTGTACAATGAAGAAAAAAATCCGAACAGGTTGTCCTCCAAAACTAGCCCCTCGAACAAAAAAATAAAAACGCACAGTGTTTTATAAAGGACTGCCGAACTTCTGTTGATTCAATCCGAACTCAACTGCTTCAGCTTTAAGTTGAGTTCATTAAAGTTGGAAGTTTCGTGACATTTCGCCAGGCAAAATTGTGTCCAATTGGTGCATCATGCATCTAGTCTCCATGGTCTAACGCTGGCAAAGCCGTGACCCGCTGCCCATCACCACGTGGTTTGGACGGCAACTTTGGCACTCTGTCACTGCATTCTGAGCCAGTTCAGGACCGCAGCTGACGGATGGGGGTAGTAGGGGCACCTTTAAATCACTGAGCCCTCGTTGTGATGTCGTCTAACCCCTGATTACATCAATCACAATGTCATGTTTTGTAGGAGGTGTAATTCATGAAACAATTGATAATATTTGTAAAGCGTACTCCTTAGGAGTCGTAAATCTGCTTCTCTGGAAGAACTTGGCTTCTCACGAGATGTCAAAATTGGGAATGTTAAAATTCGACGTCCCAACCTGTAAGAAATGTTGGGGACCTCTATACACGAAGGTTCAGTTTAGAAACTGGGTTACGTTATTGATTAAGGCACGATTTGAATGGACTGTAGGCCTATCCTGTTGTGGTAACATTTTGCCATGACTTTAATTGATATACTAATACTAAACGCTTAAGCATCTTTCGAACATGAGCAACCTCTTTAAAATTATGAATTCCCACAGCACGCGCATACAATCCGCTAAACTGCGCGCACCCCACAAACTGAGCCAACCCCGCCCCTTTCAGATGGTGGCGGCGCTGTTGATGTTTTATTCACGAGGAGGCAGGCGCTATACTTCATTACTTCTTTTGGCAACATGGCGGGTGGAAGCGGGGGGCCACAAGCAATCGACCTGATGCAATTGGCGCTTCCTCAGCTGAATATGCTGAAGGAGGAGATCGAACAGGTAACGTTATTCGAATAAGCATTAATAAATATTTCAGCATATTTTAAAAAGTAGGTTAATATTTCAACGTCACGCTTTAATTTTTGGTTCTCGGAAATGTTGCCTAGTTTCCGGACAGGAATTGACATGATTGATCGTGATGTTGCATGGGCCATGTAGGCGCGGCCTATAATTTAGTGATTTTCACATTGCATGTAAGTGTAGCCGGGAGGGTTCGATACACAGACATCATTTGACACCATTTAAGAATTTGTGAGTAGTAGGCCCAGGCCAGTACTATAATTTGACTTCTACATGTTCTAAATGATAGTAAATCTAAGCCTTAGGCTTTCTTTTTTGTCCATGTAATGCATGATGTTGGCCTATGGAACACTTTCCACATGGTCTAAGTCGATTGTCACACGTCTATAATTGGGAGCCTTTTTTTCCCCTTGGAAAGAGTTTTTATGTCCTGCCTCAATGATTGTCAAGTTTCACAAGCACCAGTGTCACCAGACCAACATTGCCAATGTTTTAGACAAGGGGTTTCAAAAAGGGGAATCTTTTATTTTGGGGCGTCTTAGCAAGGAGAGGCTTTCATTCCCTTGGGGGAAGAGCAAAAGTACCATTTCTGACTCCTTTTAAAATTTATTTGTGTTTATGGAACAATAACACTGATAAACCAGATGCGGAACTCCTTGCGTGAAATTGTCACCATTGAATCACTTCAGACTGGTGACAGGATGACTTACGTAGTAACGTTCACGATAGTGACTGACACAAGGGGACTCCTCCATTTATCATTTTACCAGGAGGTAGAGATGTTGCAGGGATCCCTCCAGCAGCTGAAGATGGCGCAAGGACGCTTTGTGGAGTCCACTGAAAGTCTGAGCAAGTTTGATCCCAAATCAGAGGGTATGTGTGCAGTAGTCTGGTTATAGTGACCCTCATTTGGTTTAACCCAGCATAATGCAGTTCTCCCAGTGCTTGTTGCATGGATAAAAAACACATAGTGGTTGATTTGCTTTGGTATGAATAAAAATGTAGCGTCTTTTTTGCCTTGCATCTTGAAAGGGATCAAAATTTCCATTGACGGCGTACGTACATTGCGCACACACTTGATCCGTTGAACAATCTGATTTCCAACACATTTTTATTCATTGGTTCTTTCTGACTCGGCACATGGGTAACCATTATTTGGCAGGTTTAAAAAATGAGTAAAAAGAAAATACCAACCACACTTACATTTTGGGCATGCATTTTACCTAGGTACGTGTAGTTATTTGCCTTGTCACTTATATGCATTTCTCTCATTTTTTTTTCTCTATGGCTGCATTTCAGGAAAAGAAATTCTGGTACCGCTTACAGCATCTGTATCCTTGGACAAAGAGAAACAAGACTCAATTGTGGGACTACCAAATGCACTCGTTGTCATTAACCACTGCTGTAGTCGATACTTCCTAAGGCAGTGCCGAATAGCCAAATATTCCATTGATTGTCGAATATTTGAATGTTATTTTTCAAAATTGAATAGCCGTATGCAAATGCATGAAAAGGAAGGGAAAATTTTCTTTTGTTTTAAATGAGAAAAATTGCACTATGGAGGCTTGTTTCAAGCAGATTCAAATGAAAAGTGTCAGAAATCTTACAACGATATAAAAAGTAAACCATTCATTAAACAATTTAAAAGGAATAGAAATTTTCATCAGGGCAAGAAGTCTTGTTCATCTCTTAAATCTTGCTAAATTGTGGCTGAAGATACTCCTAGATGTGAGAAGCCATTATAGTGATTATAATGTACAATTGTGTGTGCTATTGCAACTGATTTTGTATATGGTTTTGCTCATCAGTTTGCGGGTCGGGGTATCTGTATATTCAGATATTCAATCAAATTGAAGGTCAAATATTCGAATGGTGAATTATTCAAATTGACTCAGCCCTAATACTTCCTAAAAGATCATCACATCTTAAGACCCTCAGTCTAAATTCAAGTCACGGGCTATTCAAATGCACTGCAACAAAAGCATTCCTTTGGACCAGTGGACTGGACTAAAATATGATCAAATGCAGGTGCACTACCAACTTTTCCATTTTCTTCATGAAAGGACGGGAGTCATGAATGACATTGTGTTAAATATTGAACCTTGACTGTAAATCCCAGCTTTATATTCCTGGCAAGCTGAAAGACGTCAATAATGTTCTAATTGATATAGGCACCGGCTACTATGTAGAGAAGGTAAGTCTGAACTAGTAAGTAGACACCTTGGCACGACTGCACTGTTATTTCTACTTTCTCCTGCTCATTGTACTGTGGATTGCATGGTTCCTCGCAAAACTGATATCTCGTTTGGCATACTGTGAACTTCCCCCAAAAAAAATCTACCGAAAGGCTTCACTAATGTGGCTCTTTCTATGTTACTTACATTGTCGTTAAAAATCAACATCTCAGAGTTGTCTAAAATGTGAAAATAGTTACGTTGATTGTACATAGCGCCTTTTCTTTTGTAATTGTTGCTTTTGTGAATTGCAGTTGAAGTCATGGTCTTATTTATTCCTGTCCTAGAGACGGTTACGTGCCTTGAGCAGAAGCACCCCCTCGTCTGTTTAAGAATGCCATGTTGGTGGGGATTGGTTTTATTTTTTGGTTGGTAATGACGTGACTGTTACGCGTGCATTTCATATTCTTTCATGAACCAGCAAAGTGCAGCTCCCACCAAAGGAGCCACCGTTGCTAGAAGAATTGCGCCCTCTCTTGGTCCGGTTGGGGTTCATAGAGTCAGAGTGTCACAATTAAATATTGCACAACTGCTGTGTTTTTTTTATCAATAACATCGCTGCTTTGTGGCAGACGTTACCCCAAGCCCAGGAGTACTTCAAGAGGAAGGTGGACTTTGTCACCAAGCAAATGGAGCGGGTACAGCCAGTATTGATAGAGAAATCAAAGATGAGACAAGGTAAAGATCATCCCTCTGACAGGCTAATTCAGCAACCTGTCTTCAACAGTACCATGCCAAACAAAGATAATGTGGAGTTTTGCCCATTAAATGCACCACTGAATGCCTACTTGACCAGGAGTTGTTTGGAATTGAAAAATACACCAGTGCCTCAAGTTTCAGAATACATGACGCATGCCCTTTCAAGATGATACCATTTGAGTGATGTGCTCCTTGCATAAGTCTGTGTCCCCAACAAAACTTCCCTCACCTCAAAAATACTAGAATTTCATCCCAAAAGCGTGGTGCTTTTAATAGCATTGAATGCGACATTTCTGTTACAAAATGCTTTGAACAGTGTCTTGCGTTACCGAACTATGTGATTTAAAATTCATCATATTTACGTCTCACTGGAGTTTGTGTCTTTTTTGGTGTCGTTTCTTGTTGCAGTTGTAACCGAGGTCATGAACATGAAGATTCAAGCGCAGATGTCCATGACACAAGGTCAAGGGGTCAAGTCGTAGCAACCTTTGGTCTTACCGTACTGTTCAGCCGTATTTTACTTTTTTGCGAGCATTGGACGTCAGCAAGCAGCTTTGAGCCCCGGTTGTCTTGCCTTTGTCTGGTCATTTTGCTCATTCCTTGAGAGACCAGAGCAAGCTTTGGTGTGACAATCATTCATCCAAAAGTCATAATTCCTCATGTTTTTAGTCTTGCAGTTCCTGCTCTTACCTGGCCCTGACAAGCCTAAATTTGATTTAGGATTGGCACCTGAAGCAGCTGTTGGAAATCAGCTGTTTGGCACAAACATCAGATGCGGAACTGTTTCACCTTGTGTCAGGCAATTTCTGCTGTTTTGTTTCTGTAATAGGGATATAATCAACTTGAAGCAAAGAACAGGTTGTGTACCTAGTGGTGTTATATGTGACTATCAGTACAGTGAAGAGGTAAAGAGTGAGACAGTATTTGGAAAGGAAAGTGTTAACAAAATGATGTAAATAAAAACTTCTTGATTAAGGCCGTTTTCCAAAATGGAAAAGTCACAGACTGTCCGCTAACTTTTCAGCACTAGATAAAAATGTGAAATATTTCAAAATAAAATATGAACACAAAGCTTGTAGAAACCGGAAAAAAATACATCCACAAAATTGGACCGACTAGGAGGATGAGATTGCAGAAAAAAGGGGGTTCTAGTCGGACTTGGTGATGTCTTGAGTATGTTACCTTTTGGTAAACATGCACCTGTTAATAAAAGTGGTGCAGTGGAGGAATGAATATAGGGGCGGAGCTAGGTCATTTAGGAGCTTGTTCACTCCTCGCCAGAAGTCCCTTGAAACGGCATGACGTTTTCAAGCCCAGGAGGTTCAGAGAAAGAGAAGGGAAGAAAAATGAAAGTAGAAGAGATTCCGTTTTTGTGAACACTGGAATGAGATGATTTTGTGAAGATTGGCACTGTCCCTGTCCAAATTTCTCTACTAAATCGTACAGGTGTGGTTATTGTTTGTACATTAATTTTGACTGTGCGTTTGTATTTTGCAACAATAAAATGTAAAAGTGACACAACTGTTTCCGTGCTGTTATTGCTCTTGGATTTGTGGTGAGATAAGCATAGGAAAAAGTTTCAAGGGTCAACACCACTGACTGACAAAAATCCTCGGCGTTTGTCCCGTTCAACAGTTATTTCTCGGGTTTTTCTTCATTGCGTGTTGCAGGGGTAATGTTTATAGCCAGTCAGGTTGCCAAGGTAGTTAGTTCTTTCCTCGCCTTGCGTTTCTGCGGCCCGGGTTCGTTCCTTGGCTCAGTCCGCATGTGGATTGTGTTTTCAGACCCTACCTGACTCCGTGGGTTTCACCCAGATTTTTGGGGGGGATTTCTCCCACCTGTAAACCATCTCCCAGCTCTTCTTATTGTCTCCTCTCCACAGATGTGAGTGGATGTAGGTCGTCTGACGGCTGCCGAGGCACCCTTGTATGCCATCGGCTCAACCACTTCTAAATGTCTTCATTGTACAGTGCATTTAAACATATCTATATGAAATTTGCGATTTATAAATGAGTAAATTATTATTTACTTGGATGTCAGTGATCTTATTTCACACAAAAGACCAGCACTCTGCACCCCTGCAGGGAACCAGTTTGTGATTGCACAGAGTCCGGCCTCTTATCTCAAGTAACCTGTTGACCCATTTGTAAACCCACTAGCTACTGGTTTCTGTGATTGCTTTGTTGGGAACATATCATTTTGGTATTAAATATTCACTGACACAACAGTTGTGTTGTTATAGAACAAATCGTGTATTGGTACACAAACATCAGACTAAAAGTCTTGTCCTCCTTGAAGGGGAAAGAACATGCCTTCAATGAACACCGAGCCATTTAGCTGATATATATCACTTTAAATCCTTAATAGTAGATTTTCGCGTATTTTGTAGGTCGAATAAACTTGATATGAGTTTGAAATTTAAATTTGGAAAACTTTATGGATTTCCCCCGTCCCTTTTTCAGTGGAGAGGTTTGAAAACTTTAATTGTAAACAACTTCTCCCCTTCATACGTAGTGACCGACTTTTTCCCCAAATACCCCGATGATTGGGCCTACTTTACTAATGTCATTTCGGTGAAAATGAAATCTGTATAAAAAACTTAAATTCTTAAAAATTATAAGCCTGCATTTGATGAGAACCACTGTATGGGTTAATCATGCTGTCACGTTTTTTTTTTTAAAGTATGCCGTTTCTATTTAAAATTATTAAACCAGTTTGTTTTTATTTGCTGTGACGATATTCATGGTCTTATCTCGAAGCCGAACGGTTTACCGTCTGACGCATATTTTCCAAATCCAGGTATAAAAGGCCGAGCAAATAAAGGTCATGCCTTAACAATTACGCAGCTAATGGATGGCGTTCATTGCTTGGAAACCGGCTGTCAACTATCAACACTTTCGCCCCATGTGATTATTGATCGGGATAATCCAAGATGGCTTCTCTATTGTAACTGCGTTGGTGCTGTATTATTTGGGCCGATTTTGCCAGGATTTTACCGACGGAGTAGCTGCTTTCGAGGCCTAGGAAGGACTTTCGCTGGAGGAGATTTTTGGGAAGCAGCATGCCCGAGGAAAGCGTGAAAGTCGCCGTGCGCGTGCGGCCTTTCATATCCTTTTGATGGGAAATTCTTTTCCTACCCCATGTATTGCTAGGTCGACGTCCACACAGCTGTACGTGACTGTGGCCCGGGTACATTAAAGTTGAGGGGCTAGGCTCTAGTTTTACTTTTAAGGGGATACCATCAAGCAATGGGGTTCAGTAGCTGGGAGGAATAAATTTACATAATGGTTTAGGAAGTGTGGTTAACTTTGTGGTGTTTATGGTCTGATAATGAAGTGGAGTTCTTTCCTCCGTCGTGTCAGTGATGTTTGTCAGACATCCCAAGTGGACCAAGAAAAAAGGGGAAAGGTTTGATACGGACAACACTTGATACCCCTGTGCATAAACCTTGAACTTGCTTGGAAAAAAAAATGTTTTCATTTTGTTTCAAAGTAAATGCTTGAGAATTTTCTTTGCAAAAGTTCACTTTTTATGACATGTTATTACTTTCTGACAGCTGATCAGTGTTGTAAAATTTTGATGGAAAATCGATTGTTTGTGTATGGAACTCTTTCCAAAAACAGTGACAGCCATTTGGCCTACTATTCTTATTTTCAGAGGATCTGAGAATGTTTTTTCCTCTAGCTAGGATAACACAAAAACAGAATATGCCTAAGCTCAATAACCAAAGATTTACAACAGGATGTTTGGGCATAATGTGTACCAATTTTTTACTGCTGTGTTGGTGGTTTTGTGTAGCTGTAATTAGTATCAGGCGTCTACTGTCTATTGTCTGCTACTTCCACTGTGGGGACGCAGAAGAGCCGAGTGCGTAAGTCTCCCTCTTCCAATGCCTAGCCTTTCCACCATCAAGATACCTGCAGTGCCTCTGTTTAGCAACGCATCACTTTACTACAGTGAAAATAATCACCAGCCCCCCCCCCAAAGTAGACAGGTTACCAATGTCTCTTACAGGCTCCACTCAGTACTTTATGAACAAATTAAAATGTCAAGGGATAGGCTGGTTACTGCTGGCTTTCTGGCAAAGATTTTGAATCCTTAACCGGCCACACAACTCTCGTGAGAAGGCCCGCGGTGCCCAACTGATCATCGGTATGAACGCCGGTACCACAACCATACTGAACCCGGAGGCCCCGAATGAAGAACCCAAGAAGTTCAACTTTGATTACAGCTACTGGTCGCACGATGGCTTTGAGGAACGAGACGAAGTCCTTGTGCCTGTCTCGCCAAAATACGACAGCCAGGTATTACACTGTTGTCAAGTTCGACAAACCTTCCCCCTTAAAGATTGCTCATCACACTCAAAAACTAAAAGGAGAACCAAAAAACCAAATAATTGAAAAGAAATGTTATAAAGCTTTTTTATAACTGGTAATGAAAGTCTGCTGCAATAGTGTGAACTATGGTTATGAAAATAAAATGCTGCATTACTGTTGTGAGACACGTGGAGTCGAGATATGTTGGCCACACTTTTGTCTCTTGGATCACACAAACAGCTGGCTTTAGGGCTGAAACACTGCCCTCACAGTGTCTTCCAGTCTGGGATTTCCGAGGTCAGTAGCTGTCTCTTTATTTCTTATTTGGTAGAAAAAAGTGTTTGACGATCTAGGCGTGGGTGTACTGCAGAACGCATGGGATGGATACAACTCCTGCCTCTTTGCCTATGGGCAGACTGGATCGGGAAAGTCCTTCTCTATCTTTGGCTACGGGCCAAACAAAGGTATCCTGAAAACTTCAATATCCCCGCCCTATGAAATGTTGCCGGACAAAATAAGAGTATTACGCTTAATAATATGCTTCCAAAAAACCTGCCGTCCCTGTATGATATCTAGATTTTCAACGAAAAATTGCGTGAACACAACCCTTCCCCTTGATATAAAGATATCTCTTCTCTTAAGGCTTAGGGAATTCCATGTTTTTGCCATGTTGAAATCTGGCGCATATGTATTAAACATTTAAAAAGTGGATTGTTTTTGAAGACAGCCTTTGTTTCAGTGTCTAGATAGACAGTCCTTGTGGTGAGAAACGGGTCGTGTTTTTCTGAATGCATGAATAATTTCATATCCCTGACAACTTCTGTCACACCTTCCTATACCTGAAAAAAAACATATACTCATTCTGTCTTCATGTTCTTTGGATGTTTGATTACAGATCACTTGCTGATAAACTTTTCTTTCTCTTTTTTATAAATTCTATTTAGGGGTTATTCCCATCTTCTGTGACCAACTCTTTGTGGAGGTGGCCAACAGGAGAGAGTCGGGGACCAAGACAGAGTTTGAGGTGATGTTCAGCATGCTGGAGATCTACAACGAGCAGGTGCGGGACCTGCTGAACCCTGCCTCCCACAAGAAGGGTGGTCTCCGGGTCAGGGAACACCCCAAAAAGGGATTTTATGGTAAGGTCATAATTTAGGTGAATTATTCTGGAATGGTATTGAGTGGATTGCTCTTGAGCTACTGAATGTGTTTAGTTTTGGTTTTAATGTCTTTTTTGTACCTTATATTGTCTTGTTTTTAAAAACTTCACTGAAATTATAATTTAAGTTTTGCTTTTTAATTATTCTGGGAAACTTTCCCAGAATAATTAAAAAGCAATTTTTTTTCAAGGGAATTTTTCTTGCTGATTTGATTTTGAAAGATCTAGAAACAAACAATGCAGTCTGTAGTTTTTAATGTTGAAACATTCTTGTCCAGTTCGGTTTCCTTTTATTTTTGATATATGACATCAAACTTGGGAGAATGTTAGGCCAAACAGAGACAAAGAAGTTTGAATGAAAAACAAAATTAGCAGCATTATCAGTGTTCATGCCTGCAATCTGAAAAAAATGGGAGCAAAATGGCATTACTTTTACCTGTTTTCTATGTAATTCTGGCCGTACCTGTACAAATTTGTTTCTCTGTTTTGAAAAAAAATCACTTCTATAGTTGAGCAGCTGCGTAATGTGCCTGTTCAAAGCTACCAGCAAATTGAGGACCGTATGGATGAAGGCACGCGCAACCGCTCTGTAGCCGCAACCCAGATGAACGCCACAAGCAGCCGCGCCCACACCATAGTGGGCATCACGTTCACCCAGAAGACCGTCAACGACGCTGGGCAGGAGATGTCAAAGGTCGCCGTGGTGAACTTGGTGGACTTAGCCGGCAGGTGGGTGATGAATTGACCAATGCAAAGTTTTTGTATTTCACCCAAATATTTGACCATGCAGAAACTTTTTTTCAATTTTGACTTCAGAAAGTGAGCGAGGTGCAAGACTGATGGTGTGTTTCAAGGCTTGGCCAGACACATTTGCATTTGCAGTCATTGCTTTCTTTTGTGAACAACATTTTAGTGAGCGTGCTGAATCGACAGGGGCTACCGGTGACCGACTGAAGGAAGGAGCTGCCATCAACCAATCACTGTCTTCCCTGGGCAACGTCATCTCGGCATTGGCTGATAGGGCAAAGGGCAAAAAGGTTAAAGGTGAATGTTGCCCATGATTTATCTCTTAAATTTGTTTGTTTCTTTTTTTAGAATTTCAATGGGAAATTTGAAATGCTTGGCAATTTGAACTTTCCGCAGTTCCTACATGGCATTATTTGTGTTTTTAGAATAGAAAAAAGTTGTATCTTTCATTATCCCAGACCCTCTCATTTTCCATAGATACGCTTATAGGGAAGTGAATCAAATGCAGTAATGTGTCTTGCCTATGGACACAAGTACTTAATGGCCTATCTGGGGACTTGTTGATAAAAGAAGTGACAAACATCTGATATGAAGGAAGCCTTCACGATTTATTTATATTAAATTGATTACTTTCTTTGTTTTTATTATTTTCAAAAATAGTACCATTCCGTGACTCTGTACTAACCAAACTGCTGAAGAACGCCTTGGGCGGAAACAGCAAAACTATCATGATTGCCGCCCTCAGTCCGGCTGACATCAACTACGAAGAGACACTGTCGACACTTCGATATGGTAAGTTGGAGGAAGGAAACACAGAATGTATTGAACAGTACAAAACCTGTCCGACACAGTGCGGTGACTGTTTGGACCCCTATCCTCCCAGATCCTGCCAAATCCACCACTGGGATTTTTGTAGGATTTTGTAGGATTTTGTAGGAATCAGATGGGCAGACCCAAGCCGTTTAACACGGATGTCCACTGAATGAGAATAGTAGAAAGAAATTGCCATTGGTTTCTTGCACCATGAAAGAATTTGGAGGTTTTGGGGAAGGTACCAAGGGCGAATACATAATGTCGAAATGGCTAACCTGAGCACATTCTTCAAATGATTTTCTGCAGCTGACCGTGCTAAACAGATCAAGACGTCTGCCGTGGTCAACGAGGACCCTACAGAGAAGCTGATCCGAGAGCTGAAGGAGGAGAACGCCCGACTGATGGAGGCCATCAAGAAAGGCGGCCTGGTCATGGTAGCCGATGACGAGGACAGAAAAGAAGGCATGACCGAGGAAGGTGGGTTGAAAGACACAGAGGCCAGGGAGCAAAACTTGTAAGGCGACGGATGGTCCCTAGGCAACAAAGACATGGGATGGGTGATTGGGTTCCACCAGTAAATGATTGAAACTGATTGTGTCACTTAATGACACCTTGAAACCTGTGATCTTTGTCTTTTACCCTGACTATTCAAATGGCCTCTTTATTCTCCGCAGAGCGAGCTGCCATCAGGAAGGAGTTGGAGGAGGAGATGCAGGCCCGGCTGGAGGCCACAGAGCGAGAGCTGGGCTACATGAAGCAGAGCTGGGAAGACAAGCTCAAACAGGCTGAGGTGAGGGTAGAATGCAGAGTGAAACAAGGGGTAACTGGTGGTTCTCACCCCGAGGTACCTCCCCATCGAGGTGAACCTCAAGTTACCCTCTGTTAAATTTGGCCTCTTTCACTTCTAACTTTGTGGCCATTCCTTGAAGCTTGCCTTTCTCTCTGACCTTGGCACCATTTCCAGGTCTTCGGTGTTCACAGCAAATTAACAAATCTTTCCATGTACATTTCATGTTATTTGATTTTTGCCATATTAAAATCCGTTACATATACTGAGCTGAAATAATGGTGGGAGATCTCAAAGGGGGAGCCCAAAGCTGGGGATGTACCCAAAGAAAGGTAGAATAAGCCTTACTTTATTACCTCAAAATCAGGTTGCGCCATTCCCAGGGGGCTAAGACAGTGCGAGAATTGCAAAGTTATGACCCTGATAAGCAGGGGTTACTCTTATGTAGCACTCCGAATGGTAATGTCAGTAGATACATTTTCATGTCTTTTATTTTGATTTCTTGTAAAATGGTGACCTTCGGAGTTTTTTTTTGTCCTTGCAGGGTGGGGATGACGGAGAGAGGGCCAAGAAAGAAGCCAAGAAGACCACGCCTCATCTCTACAACCTGAACCAAGACTCCCAGCTCAGCGGGATGATCGTCTTCCTGCTGGGGCCCGGTAGCTACAAGGTGGGCAACAACAAGGCCGAGACACTGCCGGAAATCGTGCTGAATGGACTCAGGTCAGTCTCTGGATAATTGCAGCATTTCAGGCTTTGGGACAGTACATTTTTTTTCAGAGCTGAGCTTTAGGAGTTTCGTCAGTAACTCTTGATGTTCATTTCCAAATCAACATTTTTTCAGTTGTCAATAGCTGAGGGAATCTGTCTTTGTTTTGAATGATTATGCCAGTGTTTACCACCGGGGAACAAAAGCACTCTAGGGATGAGCGATGCAGTACCGCTGCAAGCTAATCTGGGGGTGCATTTGAAGTGCAGCGCACTGGGCCAGTTTGGAGAACAAAAGAAAATTATGTAACACCGCACAATCTATGCTCTCTTTGCAAGGCGGCAGGCCTGGCTGAAATACTCGGGCGTCAACAGATGTTGTCTGTCAGATTAGAGTAGTCACCAGACAGTCATTCATGTGGGTGTAAACGTCCAGTAAATGAAGTTATGAATTTTCAAAGCATTTTGAAAACAGAAAATCTTGACAATTCTCCAGGTATACTTCATTCAACTTCAAATTAAACCTGGCAGCATGTGATTAAATTCACTCTGAAATAACGGTGCCATTCCCAGGTTGGCTGTGACTGTTACATGTATGTCTTTTTTCCCTTTTTTTTTTAGTCCTGGGGTGTCTTTCCACCACGAAATAGTAGTTGAGAAATTTCTGTCAAGGTTTTCCGAGGGTGGGATCTCAGTATGCCTGAGTGTGTTTGTTATATCCATCCACAGCATTCAGAAGGAGCACGGCGTAATCGCGAACGACAACGGCAAGGTGTTCCTGGAAAAGGGCAGCTCGGAGGCCAAGATCCTGGTCAATGGCGACCCGCTCGTGGGCAGGGTGGAACTGGATCACAACGACAGGTGAGCAAGGGAGTTTTGGGTTGATGTCGTCGGTGAAGTCTCAACGGAGGACATCCAGGTGTACTTTTTTGGAGGGGAGTGGTCCCTGTTACTATGACCATCCTATATCCACTCTTTACATTAGGCCTCATAGGACAATATATTTCAATTACCATCTATTCCCATTTGAAACTTTTGATCCAAAAAGCACCGGAAATTTTCTTGTCCTTTTACTAAATCAGAGACCATTTCGCAAGTAAGTTGTAATTATGGTGTTTTCTGTCATAGGATCATGTTTGGCAGCAACCACCTGTATGTCTTCCAGCATCCCCAGCTTTACAAGGCTAAGCCAACCAACTATGTGGGCGTGGTCACCTATGAATCTGCCCAAGAAGAGATCGCTGAGAAGAACGGATTTGACATGACCTCCAATAACTCCAAAGGTTGGTCTGGCATATTCCCATCTTTGACACAGCTTTCTAATAAGTTGAAAGGTCTTTCCAGCACATTTCTCTAGCCATGATCCCCATTTTGTCTAGGGATCTGATTGGCAAAATTCTTCTTTTTAACGCCCAAGTAATCCACAGGTCTGTCCGGTAACTTTCCTCTTTGACATGACTTCTATTTAGTCCAAGGATCCGACTGACAAATTTTTTAAGCCTGACACCCAGCAGTCCAAAGGTCTCTCTGGCAAATTTCTCCCCATCATGACCTCAATTTTATCCAAAGGTTTGTCCAGCAAACACTTTCTGTCACGACCCCAAAACAGTCCAAAGGTTGAGCAGGCAAATTTGTTTAGAAATGACCTGCAGTAATCACAACGGTTTGTTTAGCAATGCCATCAACTAAAAGTTGTTCATCTGGCAGCTCTTTGGCAAGACATCCGGTAATTGAAAATTCTATTTTGATTGGTTTTCATATAAATCAAAACTTTCTAAGGTTTTGGATTTACTTAGTTTCTCATCCATCATTTTATTCTCCACACTTAGCCCCCCCCCCTTTACAACCTCTTGCTCCTCCCCAAAATTGACCAACATTGGCATTTCCAAAGCATTCGAAACCCTTGGTCAAGTTCTCTAGTCTCTTAACAAGGACCTTTTCTCTTTGCGTTGCCCACTTCCTCAGAGGACATGCTGCTGCATGAGGACCTGGTGGAGATGATCCCGGCCGTGGAGGAGGCCAACGCCATCAGCGAGGAGCTGGACCAGAAGGTCAAGTTTGAGATAGTCGTCATGTCGCCCAAAGCACGCGGCCTGGCCCACGGTCGCACAGAGGTAGGCCTCACCTTCTCGGCACCCAGTGCTCTAGTCCAACATGACATATCGATTCTCCTTGTCCTCTGTTATTCTTGTAAAAGCATAACATTTCAATTCGAGATAAATTTAGACTCTCAATTTTCAAATTTTGGTTAAAGCCCCTGACACCCAACTCCGCAACGGATTATGGATTGTCGCTCCTATTATTGACCATACCAGGGATGAGATTTTAGGAAAAGGAAATTACATGAAATAATCCTCAGATGTTTGGAGGGTCCCGTAGCGGTGTACAGTCTATGCTTTACATTTGTTTTGCCTAAAGGCACATTTTAAATCAGTCAGGAGTACTACCACATAAGGGCACTGTGACCTTTTCTGTACCCCTATTGACTATGTTTCGGTAGTCATCACCAAAATACAGTAATATTCGTCCAACTTCAACGTTATATATCTCAAATTGGTAACAATGAATTTCTCATCACATCGGTACAAAGGTGTTTTAGAATTTATAGATGATGTCTGTAATGGTCTTGTCTTTTGCACAGCCAATCAAATTTTTGCAAACGGAGCTTTTCCCTCCGTGTTTTTTCTTCCATATGCTCCAACCTTTAAGCAAAGCACCCCATATCATGGAAACACCCACAATCCTTTGCAGCCTGCTAGAACAGGCCTTGTGATTGGTCGGATTGTACAAGGTTTGTGACATATAGCCTGTCCAAATAGGGTAATACTCCAGACTGTAGATTGTCCATTTCTTGAGTTCTGTATCAACTTTTCCACATAAAAATACCATGATGGACTCGCTATTTTCCAGAATTTAAAGGATATTTTTGTTTGAAAATCCTGGCACATTTCACATACACCATACGCATGCAAAAGAGTAGTAAGTGTCTCCAGTGTGCTGAAATCCTTTTGAGGGGCACCATAAAGGTAAACGTGCTCATTCTGGTCTCACCCCCCCACGCATGGCAAAGCCAAGCTCTTGATGAATTGGCTCTTGACACCTGTTGTCTCAAAGGTGTGCGTGAAGATGAGAAACCTGGAGAAGGACCTGGAGTACATCTGGCCCAGGGACAAGTTTGTGCGGCGCAAGTACCTCATGCAGGAGATGTACCAGAACTTCACCGAGGGCGAGGATTGGTCGCTTCCTGACGTGAGTACGAGGAACTCAAATGGGGTCTCAAACTTGGGTAAATGTCCAAGACGGCATTGCATGTTATTCCTTCCTTGTTCTTATCGCCTGGTAATGGTGCGAGAAGGTTCTCTGTCACCAGTGAGGCATTCAGTGTTGCATCAAACCTGTACTTGCAGTGCTTACAAAGAATCAGTTGTCAATCTAAGAGATCTCCCAAAGTGAGATTCGAACCTTTTCATTATTTTGTACAAGTGAGGATGGCTAAACCAAAGATCTCACCGATGAGTTTTTAGGTTCGCTCTCTGTGACCAGTTTAAGAGCACACCTCAAAAACCTGATAGCCTTGATAGGATAGGCTACTGGCTGTTGGTTGATTCAAAGAATGAGAAGGAAGCTTTCTAGGCTTTTAATCAGGTGGATCTAATTGACATTGGCTCAATATGCAAGACACGAATGCTTGTAAGGAATTCATTTCAATCTTCTGAACTGTTTACTCCCTTCAGGAGAAGAATCCCTTCACAGAGCCAGCAGACCAGGAGGTTCTCATAGGAACAGTCAACGTTTACATGCAGAGTCTGGCTTACCTGGTAAGCTCTCCATCAACTCTCCACCATTGATGTCAGTCCATTTACCTACAGTGTGAATTAAGTTTTTATTTAGTGTTTGTCCTTGAAAGGATCATTTCTTGTGGTTTCTCCTCTCCTGGAAGGATAATTAAATAAAAGCGCCTAAACAAAGCTGTGTATTAAATGGGACTTCCCATGCAGTATTTGAACTTTAAGAAAGCAGCTTAGTGCCCTCTAGTGTTTTAGTCAAATCCAACACAACCTTCAAGTCCATCACAACTTGGCCAGTCTTGTCATGTCAAGTTGCTAGGTATTTGTCCTTGTTCATTCTGTTGCCTGTGACATCATGGACTCGTTCAAAGGCCTTGTGATTGGACTTGCGAGGCGTGCAGTGGGCTCGACAAAAAAATGAGGTGCTCACTGCCAGGCCACGGAACTTGCCGATATTCCAGGTAGACAGTCTTGTCCTCAGACGGAAGCTGAACGTTCCGGCAAGCCGAGTCTGCCTCCTGAGGGTGATCTTGAAGATATTCGAGATCATGGTTTCTTTGTAGTCCACTTTTGATTTAACCAAGCCTGATTCCACGCTTTCCCCCTTCCCTCCCATCCTTAACCACTCCCCCCCTCCATTTCAGATTGAATCTAAAGAGCAGCTGGACATCACGGATTACCGGGGAAAGGAGCTGGGTCTCCTGAACATGGAGCTGGTGCCCTGTCACAAGAACGGCAAAGAGATCAAGGAAGACGACGATCTCTTCATCGACCATCCCAACGAGCTGGTGGGGAGGGACCTCAACTTTGTTGTCAAGATCAACAGCGCCATGGGAATCCCCAGCAAATTCACTGTAAGCATGGCTCGCTTGGGTTCTGCCTGATAGACGATACCTACAGGAATGTTGGTCCTCTAAAGTCCTCTTTTTCCCCCAGAACTATGTTTTCTGCAATATTTCAAAGTTGTGTGTGAACTTCTTCCTGTGAAAAGTTGACCCTTGTTAACGAGAGGTCCTTCGGACCTTGCAGGTTATTGTGTGAGAACAGGAAACTTGTATCATCTGGAGTTAAAACGATGAAGAAAAAAGGATTGGGACCAAAAAATGTCCTTATTGTAAGCAGAATGTTGCGTTAACAGTGCTCTTATTAGCAAGGTTCGACCGTATATGAAATTACAAAAAATTGGATCGTTCTTCTGGTATTGATTTTCGTCAAGACCAAGCTTGCGCTTTTGTAAGTTTGGGAAAAACATCTTCACACCCAAAACTCAAATTGCCTCTTGCTGCAGGCCAAAACGTGAAGGGTTGGCAATTGAGAGTCAATTGTCAGATCTTTTGTATATTGACTGGCATCGCGAATATTGACCAGCATTTTATATATTGACCAACACCTTTTACCCCTGTAAATTAATTGACATCCAGTTTTTTGACTGGAATCTTGTTTTTATTGACTAGTGTGTCTTGTGTATTCGATAACTGTTGGCAGGGCATCCACTGTAAGTACAACGTGTTCCTGGAAACGGAGATGATCGACACCAACCACGTAAACGGGACCTCCAGCCCGGAATTCAAGCACAAGAAAGTTTTCAACTTCCCCGTGGTAACATCAAACGTAAGCCTCTTCAGTCCTCTGTGAAGTAACTGTAATAAACGTAAACGTAACAAGACGCCATTGCACCCTCGAACTTGCCCAGAATCCCCGGCATTCATTTGCGACGTTTTTGTGCCTTGTACAGCTGGTGCAATATCTCATCAATGACCACCTGGTCATCCAAGTCTGGGGGACCCAGAAAGACGCCCAGTCCAAAAACAAGGCCAAGAAGAACACCAAGGAGATCATGTTGGCCGAGGCGCTCACCAAGGGACGAGATGTCAACGCCATGGCTAACCAGGTAGCTGTTCTCACCCTACCACTCTCCCCCGTAGAATGTGCCTTCACAGTTCCAAAAATCAGATCTTCACTTATGATGGATTTTCATATGGGCCATCAACCTTTTTTGTCATCAATTTCCCAGTCCAGTAGTGTACGGTCAGACGAGTTATTATTTCCCTCAAGCGGAATTATGGGAAATTTTGATCCATTTCACATTTTGAGCCAGTCACCTAACACGACATTTCCGGGCAAATTTTTCTTAGTGGGTAGGATGATTCACTGCATGAAATACTTGTCATTTTCACCATGATGGGTACAAAATATCACTACCTGAGAATTCCAAGGTTTGTACATGATAGCGAGGCTTGCCTTTTATTCTTCAGGTGTCTGACCCTGCTATGAAGGCCAAGTACATGTTCCAGTTTGCCGTGATGAAGAAGCGGCAAGAGAGAATGGAAACCAAGATCGTGAGTATAGAATCAACTGTCCAGGAAAATCTAAAACTAAAAGAAAACATTTCGCTTGTTCTGTAAAATTTTGGCTGAGAATTTTAGATTGAGATGGAGGAATTTGGAGAATCTTTGCGGGGGGGGGAAGCATCGAGGTGAAAGCATCGTAGCATAAAGACAGACCTAATTAAAGGAAATACTAAAAAAAAAAACCTTTGTCTTGCTGCTTTCAGGCTCAGTTCCGTAAACTGGTGACCACGGCAGAGATGTCCAACAAGGCACGGGTGGAGACCATGGTCTTAAAGGCGGTCCTCAATGCTCAGAATGACAAGGTAGCTGACAAGGCCATTGCGCGCGTCCCCAAGGACGAAGGAGCTGGAAACTTGGGTAAGTAGTTTCAGCTGTTTTCTAGTGAGTTCTGGTCGCTGCGAAAAATTTGTCATGCAATTTTCTAGGAAAGATGATCAACCGACTGTGACCTCTTAGTGGGTATCAAACATCAACAAACATGGTGTCCCATAGCAAAGTGAGTCCAAGTGTTGTTTACCGAAAATAAAAGCGATTTTCGGCATAGCACTCGGCACATCAGTAGTTGGAGTACTGTACCAACCGTCAGCTTATTTCTGTAATTGACACTTATGACTCCGTCTTTGCTATGAGAGGACACCATGTTTGTTGATGTTTGATACCCACCATGGGTAACGTTACTTGTGGGCGCAAATCAGACTGGAGTCTAATCCTAAATGCAATTTCTTTTACACAATCAACACGAGACGTTGCTACATTTTCAAGACTCTTTATTTCATTATGAAAATAAAAAATCCATTTCAACAAGCAACACGAAACACTTTGCATGATTACTTCTCAAGCAGAATATATATTTAATTTCGTTAATCCATCTGGTGGGCGGAAATGAAATGGCAGTAAGGCAAAGATGTGATTGAATCCAAGAAATGAATGCAAGAAATGCCACCTGTTATATGATGGGTTCTGTCACTTACAGGAGAGGAAACTCAGAAGTCGGGAGTTTGTGCCGTCATGTGAGTTCTCTCAAGATCACAAGAGTTTGTCGTCCTCGTCAGAATTTCTGAGTACGGAGTCACTGAAGTCACTTGTTGGTTTGATGTAAATTCTCCTGTGTTGTGTGTGTATTAATACGACAGTAGCAACCTACCTCAACTCTCCGATTTTCTTCACTGTCAATTGATTAGAAATGTGGAAAAGATGGGAGATCTGGGAGTGTTGGACACTCTCCCATTTTGACCATTCTTGGTGCATGACCCTAAATATGCCCAGGTAATAATGCAGCGGTTGTGGATCTTAACTTACCCAAAGGAACCCCAATACCGCAGTGACCCAAAACCCATGACTGGTGCAGACCTTTCTTAACTTCAATTTTCATTTTGGCAAATTTTAAAACACTCTTTGCCAAGAATTGTATGTTCACCTACTGCCTATGCTCGGCTGTGATACTCCCAGCAGCAAAGGTGGTCCAAATCTGGAAGCCATATTATACCATGTAGTTTAAAAGAATGGACATTTCGGATATCATCCAATTAATATAAATGATCCGTATGCACTTGTGAAGTAAGTAGTCACCAGCAAAGATTATATAGCGCCGTGTAGCGGTGCAAGATGGGTAATTTGGCCATAAAGGTGTTATCACCATGGGCGCCATTCGAGTGTGAACGTTCATGTGTGTGCGTGTCTGTCGTGGTGCCTGCGCCTGTGCATTAACATGCACTGCGCAGGCGTAGTCCAACCAGAATGGCCCCCATGTGATAACAACATTTTACGCGTATTCACGGTGCAGTTCCCCATCTTACGCCGCTATGCGGCGCTATACGATCTTTGGTCACCAGTGCCTTAGCGCTTCACTTAACGAAGTGAAATCAACTGAAGATCCAAGTAGAATTGGTTTCTTACAATAACAGTTTCTAAGACAGAGCCCACAGGATTATTAATAGTCAGTACTAATTTTGACGTTTCCCCAAGAGACAAGTTTGTCATTGTGCTTTCCTGCCGGTCACCACTTGGGGGTCTTGATTGTACATATATTCAGATCTAGGTTCTTGTATTAAAATGAATTAACTTCACTGTCTTCTATAAGAGTTCAAAGTTGGAGTCTGAAGGTCACGGCACATGAGCCAAGATGTCCTTGTTATGCGGTACTAGACTATGCACTGATGTATTTATTTACCACCAAAGAGTACCAACAGCATTCGTTTCCATTATTGCAGAGTTTTATAGATCCAAGCCAATGGATAAAGTGCCTTTATGTTTTGGCAAATCTTGTATTGATTAGATATATTAATTTTTAAAGAAATGTATTTGTTGAGGCTACATATAGTTGCCTATATTACTCTGATTTATTCTGACCACTTTACCTCAATTGTCTGAATAGCTGAACATGCAGGCAACAATTGTTGACGATGGCTCCTGTGATCTTGTAGATTGAAATCTGTGGCTATCCGAGCAGTTTCCTTGTCTGACTTCACCCTTTGAGGTCTGAAATTATATGTACATTTTGAAATGTTATTTCCAGGGTATTTTTCATCCCTCCTTTCATTTCAGCAGTGTGTATTTGCATACTTTGTGGTTTTTAATACTGGACTGAGGTGTTTCTCATGTAAATATCACTATAAAATATAAATTTCCATAATGAAAATAACATTCCATAATTATATAAATGTGATAAACAAAGCTAGCCTAAAATGGAAAGAGACAAGATTGAATTGGTAAATTTGATAATCTAACTGTATTTTTTGTGTGTGAACTTTCAGAGAAAAAAAGAGGAATTTACTGTAGCATTGTATATAATTGCTCAAAAGAAAATAAATATAAGAGATGTTTAATGTCTTCCTCTTATATGAATCCACATATTCATACTTATGTATGAATTTTCAACCATAAACTCTCAGGAAAGTTTGTAAAACGTTTCTAGCCTTTATTAAGGAACTTCCAAGACACTTTGGAAAGGTGATAATGAAATGGACCCCCTTCCCAAGAGGAAGATTGTCTTTTTTTGTTATTTTTTTAAAGTAAATTTCAATTAGGGAAGGGGTGGCCCCTCGTGTACATGTTCACTCACATGCCTTTGTGCACCACTTAATTGGGAGCGCAGCTTTTGTCAAAGTAATCCCAAAGACATTAACCCTAACAGTCCTCAGTCCTCTAACAGGTGAAGGATTGAGGACTCTTAGGGTTAATGCTTCCAAGTTGGATTTTTCACTACTTCAAAATGAAGTTCTGAAGAGGTACATGTACCTACACAGGTTTTTTTTTTTTATTTCTACATTTCACCACCAAAATATACCTGAACAGAAAGAGGCTACAAATTAAAAATCTCATCTAGATACTAGATTATCAAACAATAAGTCACCATTACTAACCAAGGTCAATTTTCAGTCCCAAGAACCTTACCGGGAACATGTCCATGTTCTTCTGTACTGTGGGTCGTATTGTACCAAATAGGTCATTCGCACTTTCTAGGAACAATGAAAAAGGGACAAATCACATTTTATGTTAATTAGTGTGGCCCATATCAGTAGTAGTACATGTACATGACCCTGGTTGATACAAAATTATATCAAATGTTGAATAGTGGCAGAAAGTATGCATGGGAAGCAGATTTTTTTGGGGGCGGGCTTTTCTAAGTAAAGAAAGAACTCAAAGTAGCAGGCTCAGGAACAGTGATGGGGCTCTTTTTTCAGATATTCCAATGAAAACAGGCAACCCCACAGGACATTTTGCCATGCTGTACATTCTTTTTCTGGGGGGGTGGGTCACTTTTCAAAGAGGGAGTACCCCCTCTCTGGCATAATGTACAGACCTGAAAGGAAATGTGCATATCCTCAAATATTTTACACCTATGTTGCAAAATACCCAGCATGTTTCATTAATTGCTTTGGGGGGGTCAACAGAGCACTAACAGGGTCCAATGCAAATTTTAATCAGTTTTCCCTAGCGATCTAACTTTGCTCACACAAGTGAATCAAGGAATAAGGTGTACAGCTTGTCAATGGTCAGTGAAAAATGATATGAAAATAAATGCTACCAAAACCCAAGAACTGTTGATATGCTTCTGTAAAGACTTGCCCCATGCTGCTATTTGGCCAAACAAACTCTGTAGAGGAAAAACCCGTAGCACGCGTTAGTCCAGCTAAAATTCCTGGCATAATTCTCTCCTTTGATTTAACTTGGAACGCACATGTCAACTACATGTAAACTGCCTGTAAAAGACTGTATATGCTGTACCAACCTATGCGTGCTGGAATTAATCAGAGTGATTTGTTAACAATTTACAAGTCTATGATAAAACCTGTTCTGGAGTATGCTTGTCAAATGTGGCACAGTAGTTTACACAAATATCTGAGTGATAAGATTGAAAGTGTCCACAGACGAGCTCTGAAGTCAATAAAACCAGGTCAAGACTACAATTAAGAGGACCCTGCGTCTAGTTAATATGCAAACTCTCAGTGAAAGATGCAGTAAACTTTGTAAGTCACACTTCAGTCAACTCAAGAAAACTGATTTCCCCACCTCCTGCTTGAGCCTTGTGTAATGAGCCATGCACTGAGATCCGCCCCTGAATACTCAAATGCCCTCAAACCCAAACAGGTTTAAGAATTCGCTTATTCCCCGGTGCTTCTTCAATCATTAGTTCCTTCTACCAATCTAATTTTGGTCTAATGATCCTCCTGCTGTGTATATACTGGCACCTGCAACAAGTTTTAAAACTAAGTAAGCATATTTTAATTTTATTCCAGATTTTGAGATTTGTTTGGCTTTTTTTCTAATGATTTATTTATTTATATCCTCATTTTTGTAATTTTGGTTTTAAGTTTATTTGTTAGTGTTTTATCAGTAATTTTGATGTTTCTGAATGTTGTTGAGTTAGGTTTCTGAGGCTGTCCTGGTGATCTTGTGTTTGATGTATCTCTTATTATCATAGTGCAATTTTATGTGATTCTTTTGGCTTACCATATTTAAGAATTTAGTGTAAATTTTCCTGGTCTTTTTTCAAACAAAGTATGTATTTTAGCATCTTAATTTTAACAAGTGTACAATCCAATCAAATTATCAATCAATCAATCAATCAATCAAAATCAATCAATCAATGAGCCTGAGATGGTGTCAGTGCAGCACAATGGCACCCATGCTTGTACATCACGTTGCTAGTGTCAGGTTTGCTTGCATTTTGCTATATCCCAATACTCCAAGCAGCATAAGGACACTTACATGCCATCTAAACGAGGTCATGTTGCTAGACAATTCGATATCGCAGTTTATTTACTAAGCCCAATGCAAACCTGTCCATGTGCAGTGGACCATCTCGTCTGCTCTCCAATGCCATATAAATGCATGCAGAGTTCAAAATCCGCTGTTTGAGCCAGTGTAATGGTAGACAAAAATAGCCTTGGGATTTTACGCAGTGGAAAACCAACTATGCATACACCTGTGTGGACAGTGGCTATGCACATGTACAATGTATAGTAATATCCCGTACTGTATGAGTGCTTCTTTGTAAATTTACTTCCCCGTATGAGTCACACGAGAGACAGTGATATCCTTCAAATGTGAGGAATTTGTCAAGATTTTCATCATTTTTCTTTGCAAAGAGAGGTGAGTATACCTAGATATGTTAAAGTTTCAAAAATTAATTCATATCCAGTGTCATTTTGAACACTATTTAGCAAAAAGGCCAACTCCCACACTAGGAAGCTTTCATATATTTTAGTACATTCACTTCAGAAATATTTGGTTTAATATCTTCACCACTCCATATGTAAAGGCTTCTGTGACTTGGAATAAATTTGCAGTTAAATGATGGTGTGTCACATTTGTTTTTCTCTCATACTGTTTTATCACAAAACTGTTGCAGTGTATGGATATTTAGAATACATTTTCGTAGTTGTGCCATCATTGTCACATGTTTATAGGTTGACATGGTGGAGCTGTTTTTGAGCTATTGATATAATTTTTCCCTTAAAAAAGTACATTGTCTACAACTTTGCAGGTGCACACCTAGAAGATGGCTGCCACAGTGACTGCAGAGTCGGTTTGGGAAAAGATTATCCAACGTCGTCTAGAATGCTCCATCTGCCGCGCCCGTTATCAAGAGCCCAAGATGCTGAACTGCACACACAGTTTCTGTCTCAGATGCCTCCAAGATATAAACCAGACACATGGTCCCAACACCAACAAGCTCACGTGTCCACTATGCCAGAGAGAAACCATTATTCCCGAGGGTGGCATAACTGACTTGATAAGCAATTACGACCTAGTTGCTCTGTTAGCAGATGTGACCAAACAGGAGCAGTTCCTACAAAGAGATGCGACAAAGGTCATGTGTCAGGGATGTGACGAGGGCAATGAGGCAATATCCCACTGTATGGACTGTGGGCATTATCTCTGCCAAGAGTGTAAGAAGGCACATCAGCGGCTGGCTGCACTGCGAACCCACAAACTGACATCTCTGGCAGAACTGAGTGATGAAACAATGACAAAGCCTGTATCAACTAAAGGCTATGTCTCTAAATGTGACAGCCATCCTGGTCAGGAACTCTGCTTCTACTGCAATCCGTGTGAGCAGCTAATCTGCAAAGTTTGTTCCACTTCTAGCCACAGAGAGCCCGCACACAGCTTCGTCAACTTCAAGACTGCCACTGACATCTGCCTGAATCGTGCCCGTGAACTGACATTCCATGTCTTCAAATTTAACTCAGCCAAAGCTGCCACCCAAATTCCAACCAACTGGGAGTCCTCTCGCAAAAGACTGAGCATGATGCTGGCTCAAACCAAACGACAGATTTGTCAGAAGGCTGAGATGGAGGTGGCCAAGATCAGGCAGAAGGAGAGACAACTTCTCCAGCAGGCACAACTGGTCTTCGGGAGAAGGGACAAGACACTTGCCGAACTCGTACTTGCAGAGCACACTATGAAGATGGTGCACACGAACATGACAGAGGCCAGCCAGCTGGACATCTTGAAACTCCGGGAAAAGCTCCTACACAGCCACAAGGATGTGATCACGGAGCCAACTGACGACTTGACCCCCGAACTCTCCTTCATCAGCTTTGCAGAGAATCAGACAGAGGTTGACATTGGAAATATGCTGCTGAAAGAAAAGTGGACAGTGATGAGTAGCTCTAATATCACTGGAGAACTGATTGCGTCACTCTCCACAAATGACACAGTGGTGGTTAACAAAGGCCAACAGAAGCTGACAAAGCTGAGTCCAGATGGCAAGATCCTTCACGTCTGCCCAATCAGCCAACTGCAGGGTGAGGATCCAGGGGCAGTAAGGCGGCCTGTTGATTTTGAAGTCAACAAAGATGACCAGTTAATTATCCTGTTTGAATCTGCCGTCAAGATCTTCAACAAGGAATACCAGCTTCTTCACCAGTTCTCACCGAGCAAGGAGGCGGACACTGACGGCACGCCATCATGCCTAGCAGTGGATGGCAACAATCTGATAGCAGTGGGCTACAAGGATAAGGAACGCATCTCTCTCCACAACCCAGACGGATCCTTCATCAGGACACTGCCTTCTCCTGCAATTGGTAGCTACATGACTATCAGCACGCAGAGGATCATCTACACCAATACCTACACCAAACAGCTCATATCAGTCGATTATGAGGGCAATGAGAAATTCAGGGAGCAAATATACCAAGGGCAGGTGCCCCGTGGAGTGTGCTGCGATGAGGCTGGAGATATCTACATCATAACTGAATCTTACTGCTTATATCATTACAGTTCAGAGGGCAAGTACATTGAAACTCTGGTCCGAGATCTGCGTGACCATAATGACATCAAGTTCACCTCTAAGGGTCAGTTAGCAATGACTGGCCCATCATCAACAAGAATATACCATCGTATTTAAAATGAGAAGCATAAGATACGTACGCTTGGACAAATTATGTACTCGGGTAATTCCAGAAATTAGGGGTCCAAAAGTGTGACATTTTTGTGTCCCTGTTACATCTGACCTTTGTTATTTGACATGGAAATGTTACCAGAATTGATTTCAAACTATTACTATTTCTTTTGCAGGCAATTTGCATTAATTCATCACTCTTGGAAATTAGAAACTGTGTTCTGAACTTACAAAATCATACGTCAGATGTGACAGGGACACGAAAAAAAATGGTCCCCTAATTTCTGGAATTACCCACATGTATTACGTTTTTACCAAATTGTACTTTGACGTCACACTCACATTCCAAAAATGTAACTGAAAAGTCATTTGTATAAAGCAAATAAAATGATTAATTGGATGGAAGAAACCAATACCCTCCCAAATAAGTCATTTGCGAGTTAAATTTGAAAAATCTGGTGCACTGAGTTATAAATCTGACTGCACATAAACATAACAATTTGAACTCCCCATACTAAGACACTGTTGCTATACTTCGTGATTCGGGGCAAGCTTTTGCACAGCGACCACCATCTCTGGAATGGACTGGTTGAGAACAGTGTATTGTTGCAAGGCGTCTCTTATGTAACTAAGCAAAAGCTTGCCCCGAATCATGAGGTAAAGCAACAGTGGTTTTAGGAAGAATTCCGGTTGTTATGTTCACGTGAATTTAAAGAATTCAGTGTACCAGATTTGGGTCAAAGTTAACTCGCAAAAGGCTTACTGGCCTGCCCTTGGAATTCAAAAACGCATACAGAGCTTTTCTACACTTTTTGGTTTGAAACTGACACGGATATAAAAATTGCTGTCTGCTTGTTTATTTGCAAAGAAACGACCTGACCAGAAATTGACAGAAAGAAGACATCAGATGACGGCAAAAGTATTCTTTAAAAAAAATCAAACAATGACATCAATTACAGCAGCCTTTATTAAAAAGAATTTATTTCTTGAAGAGTGCTAATAATACACAATTGCAAAACGTTTGTCAAAACAGTATTTGCTTGGATAATCCTAGTTGAACCATTGTTGCAAAACTGCCTGGTCCCCCACATTCTTCCACTTTTGGCTGCAGTTTCCTTGCTGCTTTCCATGGTTACCGCAATTTTGCCAAACGAACAGCCCAATGGTCTGGTTACAAAAGCTGACTAGGCTAGATAAACCATATTGTATATCAGTGATATTGGTTACTAATGTTAACAGTTACCGTCAAACTTGCTCAATCTGCCTCGAGCAGAAGCACCCCCTCATTGGTTGAAAAGAGCCATGTTGGTCAGGAGTGTTCATTTTGTTGGTAGCGATGGGACCGTAACACGTAGATTTCCTAGTTGTTTGTGGAAGAGTGGAGGTGAATTCAGACCAAAGGAGCCTCTGCTGCTAAGGAAATTGTGTCCTCCAATTCGAGGCTCATGAGGTCAGAATGTGATTTGTTTGTGTGTCAAACACATACAAAGTACCTGAAGGTCTGCCTTTTGCATGATGATTTCACTTGAGCAAGCTGTTCATTTTAAATGACCAACAGACAAATGTTGTCCATTTAATCATAATTAAAATAAACTAAATGTTATGAAACACCGTCATAAATTCATACACAAAAACACCCCCGTGAAACCCAGTTGCCTATACAAAACAAATATTACATACAGCTGAAGATTACTGACAGAATGCATCACAATGTGGTCAGACTATTGTGCCAATAAACTGACTACAGATGGACTGAATATTAAAAGATCTTGTCTTGCACCATGTCTGGTCACTGAGCGACACATGTATACTTTCTTGATAAGGGAAATTGAAAGCTGATGTATTACAGTCATTAAAAATGTATCTTCCTGTTTTGCCAAGACAGAAAATAAAGACCAACTGTACAGGAGATTATTTGGGTTGTTGTCTTATTAACTACCTTGCTCTAGCAAGAATTTTTAGCTGGCCAAGCCCAACATTGTTTTGTCTGACATATCTGACATGTCAAAAGTCCATTATGCTTGCACTGCAGACTGGCTCTGACTAAAGACAGTTCCTCCGCAAGCAGAGAGGAGACAGGCTGCTGGGTATAAATTTCAGCTTGACACACAGCGCATGTGCAAATTAAGACTGTACATTTCAACAAAAACTGGTTGTGTGTGCATGTGTCCTGCGCCAAAGGCAAAGGAACCTGTGCAGGTACACAGCATATGAGAGAATTGCATTCCAGTGCAAACAACAAAGCCATTTGCTCCTGCATAGCATGAATGATGCACAACTGGCATGCAGAGTGACACTGGAGATGTTGCCCATTATGCCCAGGAGGCGGGGCTTTACCTGATTGGACTGAATGGCCTACTACATGAGAACGAATATGCAGCTAAATATAGTGATACATCACTCCACAGGGACCATAGCAATGATCATATATTCAGTCACTATCCAACAAGCCTACTTGAATGATGTTGCTTTATTTACATAACCAATATCTGCAAGGTGCTAATATAAAGTTCTCTTCTTTATTCTGCATGTGTTTTTCCTTGAAAATAGTTCAATCAAATGTCAACTTCTTCAAATTAAGTTCCTGAAAGAAATTGTTATTGCATTCACATAAGTGGATCAAACCAGGTCTATATATCTGTTGATGAACCACTTGATAATGCCTTGTAACACCAATGCAAAGACACACTTTTTTTGTTAAATGTTCCACTATACATGTAGCTTACTGCATAAATAATCATGCATCTTTATGTGGTTTTATCATTTTTCTCTACAGCAAACCTACATATACTGCATAATATTGTATTGTGGTTAACCTCCCAATAACCTTTTGGCAGTGGGCTGATTTGCCAAGTGCTCGTACATTCATGAACCTACACTGGTCGACATGCAGTTCAAAGGCCACATGGCACCTAGCATAAAAATGAGTGATAAAAATAGACCCGGGGATTCACAGACGCGCAAAACATATACTGCTTCCGCATTTGTAAGTTGAGGATTGCATCTACTGCACCCAAAGGAATCACAGGGGAGTGTTCTACAACTCTCTTTGAATGTGAAGAATCACTAATAATATAGTTTCCTAATTTTTCTTGTTCTTTAATTGCAAAGAGAGGTGAGTACACAATGCTTCTTTTTAAAATAGATTTGTATTGCTGATGTTCCGAGCGTTGAGGCACTTTAATTTCCATGTTCAACTCCATTCTATCTCCGTTAAAACACTTTACACTGTTTGGTCTAATATTCCTTTCAAAGACATCAAAAGGTCATCTTTTGAATGGGCAACTTTCAGTTTTGAAGGAAACAAGCTATTGAATTCGTGACTCCATACTGCACAGCTGTTGTTACATGTATTGTTGTACAGAAAAGCAATAGTGAAAGGCTTATAACCATTCAGATGTTGCCATGCATTTAAGCATTGCATCACTGTTTCCAATGTCTCTGAGCTTTCCGTTCTGTTCTGTATTCTAACCCTTGTCACTTTTATACAGACAAAAAACTGAATCTTCCTAACATGTAACTGATACACTGATGTAGCAATTTGTTTCTCCTTTTCTCACTAGGCACACATCTGAAAGATGGCAGCCGGTATGACAGTAGAGTCAGTTTTGGGTTCCATCATCCAGGGACACCTAGAATGTTCCATCTGCCACACCCGTTACCAAGAGCCCAAGATGCTGCTCTGCTCACACAGTTTCTGTCTAAGATGTCTCCAAGAACTCAAGCAAACACAGAGTCCAAACACCAACAAACTCATATGCCCTCTGTGCCAGAGAGACACCACCTTGCCCAAGGGCGGCATGATGAAACTGAGCACCAACTACGCTCTGGTTGCTCTCATGGCAGACGTGACTAAACAGGAGCAGCTCTTGCAAAACGAAGAGGCTCAGGTAATGTGTCAGGCATGCGAAGAGGACAAGGAAGCGATATCCCGCTGTATGGACTGTGAGAATTATCTCTGCCAAGAATGTGAGAAAGCTCACCAGCGCTGGGCTGCACTGCGAACCCACAAATTAACATCACTTGCAGATCTGAACAAAGATTCATCAATCCAACCCGTTTCAACCAAAAGCTACATCTCTAAGTGTGACAGCCATCCTAGTCAGGAACTCTGCTTCTACTGCAACACCTGCGAGCAGCTGATCTGCAAAGTTTGTTCCACATCCAGCCACAAAGAACCTGTACACAGCTTTGTCAACTTCAAGACTGCGATAGACATTTGCTTGTACGGTGCCCGTGAACTGGTCTCCAATGTTGTCAAATATAACTCCACCAATGCCGCCATTCAAATTCCAACAAACTGGGAGTCCTCTCGCAACAGATTGAGCATAATGCTGGCTCGAACCAAACAGCAGATTTCTCAAAAGGCTGAGATGGAGGTGGCCCAGATCAGACAGAAGGAGACCCAGCTTCTCCAACAGGCACATGTGGCATTCAGACGAAAGGACAAGAAACTTGCCGAGATGATATTTGCAGAGCACACAATGGGAAGAGTGCAGAGTGACATGACTGAGACTAATCGGTTGGACATCTTGAAACTGCGGCAAAAGCTTCTGCATGACTACAAGGATGTCATCAAGGAACTCAGTGACGACTTGTCCCCGGAGCTCTCCTTCATCAGCTTTGCAGAGAATCAGACAGAGATTGAGCTTGGAAATCTGCTGCTCAAAGAAAAGTGGACAGTGATGAGTAACACTAATATCACTGGAGAACTGATTGCGTCACTCTCCACAAATGACACAGTGGTGGTCAACGAAGGCCAACAGAAGCTGACAAAGCTGAGTCCAGATTGCAAGATCCTTCACATCTGCCCAATCAGCCAACTGCAGGGTGAGGATCCCAGTGCCGTAAAGCTTTCTGTTAATTTTGAAGTCAACAAAGACAACCAGTTCATCATTCTGTTTGAGTCTGATGTCAAGATCTTCAACAAGGAATACCAGCTTCTCCACCAGTTCTCACCAGGCAAAGAGGCAGATATCGAAGGCACTCCCACATGTCTTGCTGTGGATGACAACAATCTGATAGCAGTGGGCTACAAGGACAAGGAGTTTATATCTCTTCACAACTCAGATGGATCTTTCATTAGGACACTGCCTGCTCCAGCGATCGAGAGCTACATGACCATCAGCAATCGGTGTATCATTTACACCAATGCTTCCACCAAACAACTCACATCAGTTGATTATGAGGGCAATAAGAGATTCGTGGTGCAAACTTATCAAGGGCAAGTCCCGCATGGGGTGTGCTGTGACAGAGCTGGGGATATCTACATCATCACTTCATCTAATCAAGTCAAACACTTCAGTGCAGAGGGCAAGTACATTGAAATTCTAGTCAGTGATTTGGACAGCCATCTCGACGTCAAGTTCACCCCTGGAGGTCAACTGGCTATGACTGGTCAATCAACCAGAATATATCGCAGAGTTTAAAACTAAAGCAATGATGGAAAACTTCCAACAAATAATATGATTCTCATACTTGTCTGCTGTGCAAGTATGAAAGAAATTTTGTGATATTTGTATCAAAATTCATTCACAATTCAAAAATAAAGCTTGAAAAACCATGATGATCAGAGAAATTATTAAATTTTTGTTAAGTGCTGATGAGCTATAGGCAAAAATAGTCTGATCTAGTTCCAAGAAAACAGAGAAATGAACATGCTTAATCTTATTCAAGTTGATGCTAAAGCACTATCGAAAGATGACTTCCTGAAGGTTGCTAATTTATATGAAAGTAAGTAAACTAGGTAGAAAAAATCTATGTAGAAAAATAGTGAAGTTATCTGCAAATAACAGCAATTGTTGGGTGAACATGCTCTTTAGTAATTAAAATTTGATGTATGATCACCAAAATAAGTGACATTTCCATTGCAGGGCGAGGGAGAACAGAATGATAAAGTTTGTTCAGTTATCAGTGGAGATAATTGAAAGAAAAAGACACTGTTCTTCCTATAGAATGGAAATAATCACTGTAACTGATTCCAGACAGAAATTTGCATGGATGCCTTGGCTAGGTTAGGAGCCCCTGACGTGGTTCAGGCTTTTACAACCTCCAGACTTGGCAGAGCCTCCAGTTTTAGTTCAAGGAATAACAGTTGCTCAGTGAAGCTTGAAGATGAACCAAACTGCGCTACCTTACAATTCAACAATCATATATCATCTGGAATACTAGGCAATTAGCCAAGTGGAATTTGTTGTAGTTTTAAAAGTTTGTACATATGCCATTAAATACCAAAAAAGTATGG